AGTTAGAAACAGTGAGCAAATTACTAAAGCAGTTTGAGTGAACTGACGACAGATCAAGTTTATAAAATCTTTCTCTTAAAACAACATTTCAAGAAAATAGGTTTCTTAAGTGCAGTAGCTGTTATCGCTCTTTCCAGTATATATGGAAGCTACCTTCCTAACCTTTTCAGGGAAAGCGGGTTTCTCAAGTCCAGTAGCTGTTATCGCTCTTTCTAGTATAGATGGAGTGTACATGCCTAATCTCTTCAGGAAAATAGGTTTCTCAAGTCCAGTAGATGTTATCGCTCATTCCAGTATAGATGGTGGCTACCTTCCTAACATTTCAGGAAAATAGGTTTCTCAAGTCCAGTATATTTTATCGCTCTTTCTGGTATAAATGAAGTCTACATTCCTAACCTTTTCAGGAAAATAGGTTTCTCAAGTAGAGTAGCTGTTATCGCCCATTTCAGTATTGATGGGGGCTTCCTTCCAAAACTTTTAAGGGAAAATAGGTTTCTCAAGTCCAGTAGCTGTTATCGCTCTTTCCAGTATAGATGGAGGCTATCTTCCTAACCTTTTCAGGAAAATAGGTTTCTCAAGTCCAGCAGCTGTTATCGCTCTTTCCAGTCTAGATGGGGGCTATCTTCCAAACCTTTTCAGGAAAATAGGTTTCTCAAGTCCAGTAGCTGTTATCGCTCTTTCCAGTATTGGTGGGAGGTTCATTCCTTCTTAGCCTTTTATTTGAACGTCAACTACTTAACTGTGTCATTATTTTCGCTTCGAGTTACATTTGCTATCCATTTTAGTTGTTGCTGCTCTTAGAAGTCCTCAAGTGGTTGGTTTCTATTATTTGGTATAGTTCTTAGCTTGTGATTCTGTAGCGTCATTCCACGGTGTTCAAATATGAACGTTCTTTGCTAAAACCCTCAGACGACAGCCGGCCAAAGTCATTTTTAATCATTGATACGGCTGACAGTTTAGATATTTCTAAACGAGATTGGCGCCTTGCATGACATCCGTATGAAAGTCTCGATCTGTTGCCGGTATTTAAGAACATAACTCTACTACTGCGGTTAATGTTTTGATTTTATAGCAAATTGCGGTATTGTCGAAACTTCCATCGGTGCAGCCTATTCTAGGTTCAATTTTCTTTTCTTCTATATTAAATTTCTAATAACTAATCTATCGGGTGTAACAGTAAAATTGTCCAAATCGCGTAACAGCAAAATTGTCTGTCTATATTTGCAATATGCAATATGAGCTCTGGTAAAAAAAAAAATATGGAATGATAACAGCAAAAATTACAAATTAAATTCGCACTGGTAAAAATGGTTGCTGAAGACATTAATTTTATAAGTCCCAGACATTCATACACAGATGTTCTTAATAACACATTGCAAAGTGGATAAAGGCGTTGGTTAGATCCGGTGACATTGTGAGTTCAATACCTGGTTAAGGCAGTGGAGAACTTGGAGAGGTGAATTAACAGAAGATAACTGATAACTGACATCCATTAGACATGGCACGTGGATCTAGAACAGTCTACCCCACCAAGCGAAATAAAGGGTTCAGTTCGACATTCTAATCACCTGAAAAAGGCCGGAGCGTACACGATAAATATGGCAACAAAGATGAGGACGATAGTCTGAATAATGTATATAGAACAAAATTGTCCAATTGTTAGATTAAGCTGTGAATCGGTGTATCTTAGAAATGATTAAAGATATCTTACTGGAATTCTCCGAGGTTTTTATAATACTATTGAACTCTGCTTTGAGCAATATCGTGATGAAATCGGTCACAAATGAAAATGATATGTTCATTTTTAATTAATCATAGCTAAGGATTGGAAGCTCATAAAGGATTGAAATTAAGTTTATATATATATATATATATATATATATATATATATTATTTTAGGATTATTTTCCACTTTATTCAATATGATCTTTGCCCTCTCTAGGTTTCTAACTTTCTGTTCTGGAGTAACAAGGTGCCTCACACGTTTCACGTACAATTTCAGTTTCAAGTCTTTTATCACTGCTCTTTGGACTGTCAGAGTTGAAACTCCTCTCTCATGTGCCAAACGTCTTATGAATTGAGTTGGCTCTTTTCTAATTGATCTCTTTAGCTCTGAGTTGAAACGATGATCCCTCTTCCTGTTGTGACCTCTTGATCCAGTTTTCCTCTCTACTGTTCCCTTTTTTTAAAAACTTATTCGCCGTTCTCTTGATGGTTCTTGAATGGACTTTGAAGATAGACGCCGGAGTATGAATGTTGGTATCATTACTGAAGGCCTGAATGATATTTTCCTCTCGCCATTGCTCACTTGGGAAGACGGCAGGCATGGCACAAAACAATATTAAACTGCTCTCTTTTTAGCTGAATAACTCAAAGTGTTTTTCAGTGATTCTTACGAAAAATGGTGTCAAGATGGCAATACGTCTTATCTAAAAACCCGGAAAAAAGAAACTGTTTTTTTTTTATATATTAAACATTTTGTGAGGTGGATAATTATGCTGTTACACGATTTGGACAATTTTGATGTTACACCCGTTATATGCCCGTGGATTTTTGAAGTATGCCATCCTAAGGGAAAAGAAAGCATGAAGAAACGGAAAGATACCGTTAGAAACAAAGAACAGGCTGCTGAAATCGTTCTTGTGTTTTTAAAGTGATGAGCATCCTGTACTAGGATCTGGAGCCACTCGAGGTAGAGGGTTAAAGAGACAGACGTGCAGCTTATACGGATATGTTCGGAAGATAACAGTTAAGCCTAGACCTGATCAGGTTAAGATCGTAGTGATCAAGGAAGCAGCCTCTTTGGAATCAGTTTCACAAGGCAGCGATTCTTGGGAAGAAGTTGCTTGAGTGATTCTTACATCTCACCGGGAGGGGGAGATATGAAGGAAAGGAGGGTGGTTCGCTAAAATGTGTATGGCATGGTGGGTCTTAGTTATGAAGGCGAGGATGGTCTTAGCAGTGAATGCAGGGACAGGTCTCGGCCGTGAAGCCTGGGACTGGTCTCGGCGGGAAGGCTAGGACTGGTCTTGGGCGTGAAGGCTAGGACTGGTCTTGGAAGTGAAGGTTGGGACTAGTCTTGGCCGTGAAGGCTAGGTCTGGTCTTGGCAGCGAAATCTGGGACTGGTCTTGGCAGTGAAGGCTGAGACTGGATTTGGCAGTGAAGGCTGGGACTGATCTCGGCCGTGAAGCCTGGGACTGGTCTCGGCGGGAAGGCTAGGACTGGTCTTGGGCGTGAAGGCTAGGACTGGTCTTGGAAGTGAAGGTTGGGACTAGTCTTGGCCGTGAAGGCTAGGTCTGGTCTTGGCAGCGAAATCTGGGACTGGTCTTGGCAGTGAAGGCTGAGACTGGATTTGGCAGTGAAGGCTGGGACTGATCTCGGCCGTGAAGCCTGGGACTGGTCTCAGCAGGAAGGCTAGAACTGGTCTTGGGCGTGAATGCTAGGACTGGTCTTGGAAGTGAAGGTTGGGACTAGTCTTGGCTGTGAAGGCTAGGTCTGGTCTTGGCAGCGAAATCTGGGACTGGTCTTGGCAGTGAAGGCTGAGACTGGATTTGGCAGTGAAGGCTGGGACTGATCTCGGCCGTGAAGCCTGGGACTGGTCTCGGCGGGAAGGCTAGGACTGGTCTTGGGCGTGAAGGCTAGGACTGGTCTTGGAAGTGAAGGTTGGGACTAGTCTTGGCCGTGAAGGCTAGGTCTGGTCTTGGCAGCGAAATCTGGGACTGGTCTTGGCAGTGAAGGCTGAGACTGCTCTTGGTCGTGAAGGCTAGAACTGGCCTAGGCAGTAAAGGCTGGAACTGGTCTCGGCCGTGAAGGCTGGAACTGGGCTTGGCGGGAAGGCTAGGACTGGATTTGGCAGTGAAGGCTGGGACTGATCTCGGCCGTGAAGCCTGGGACTGGTCTCGGCGGGAAGGCTAGGACTGGTCTTGGGCGTGAAGGCTAGGACTGGTCTTGAAAGTGAAGGTTGGAACTGATCTCAGCCGTGAAGGCTGGGACTAGTCTTGGCCGTGAAGGCTAGGTCTGGTCTTGGCAGCGAAGTCTGGGACTGGTCTTGGCAGTGAAGGCTGAGACTGCTCTTGGTCGTGAAGGCGAGAACTGGCCTAGGCAGTAAAGGCTGGAACTGGTCTCGGCCGTGAAGGCTGGAACTGGGCTTGGCGGGAAGGCTAGGACTGGATTGGGCAGTGAAGGCTGGGACTGATCTCGGCCGTGAAGCCTGGGACTGGTCTCGGCGGGAAGGCTAGGACTGGTCTTGGGCGTGAAGGCTAGGACTGGTCTTGAAAGTGAAGGTTGGAACTGATCTCAGCCGTGAAGGCTGGGACTATTCTTGGCCGTGAAGGCTAGGTCTGGTCTTGGCAGCGAAATCTGGGACTGGTCTTGGCAGTGAAGGCTGAGACTGCTCTTGGTCGTGAAGGCGAGAACTGGCCTAGGCAGTAAAGGCTGGAACTGGTCTCGGCCGTGAAGGCTGGAACTGGGCTTGGCGGGAAGGCTAGGACTGGATTTGGCAGTGAAGGCTGGGACTGATCTCGGCCGTGAAGCCTGGGACTGGTCTCGGCGGGAAGGCTAGGACTGGTCTTGGGCGTGAAGGCTAGGACTGGTTTTGAAAGTGAAGGTTGGAACTGATCTCAGCCGTGAAGGCTGGGACTAGTCTTGGCCGTGAAGGCTAGGTCTGGTCTTGGCAGCGAAATCTGGGACTGGTCTTGGCAGTGAAGGCTGAGACTGCTCTTGGTCGTGAAGGCTAGAACTGGCCTAGGCAGTAAAGGCTGGAACAGGTCTCGGCCGTGAAGGCTGGAACTGGGCTTGGCGGGAAGGCTAGGACTGGATTTGGCAGTGAAGGCTGGGACTGATCTCGGCCGTGAAGCCTGGGGCTGGTCTTGGCAGTGAAGGCTAGGACTGGTCTTGGCAGTGAAGGCTGAGACTGGTCTTGGCTATGAAGGCTGGGACTGGTCTTGGACGTAAAGTCTGCGGCTGGTCTTGTCCGTAAAGTCTGCGGCTGGTCTTCGCAATGAAGGCTAGGACTGGTCTTCGCCGTGAAGTTGTGGGTTGAGTTTGTGTAAAGCGCTGTGTCATAACGGTGCTGTATTATTGTAGAGTAGCTAGCACCTCTTCAGCACCCTACTAGATATCCTGGCTCATAGCCTTGAATAGTCTACGATTAAGGACTTAAACAATTGATTAATAAGTTGATACTAAACTGATTAATATTTCGGACTGATCTTACTTCGTTTGGCTATACAACATTTGACCCTCCTCTATTTCTTGTAATTTGTCTTGTTAATTGTTTTGAAACTTATTGTTATGTGTTGTTTGTATGTATCCGTTAGCACCGGATACTGGTCTTGAATAAATATATTAAGGACTTATTCTTCTCTGTGTATTATTCACCTTGACGATAGAACAATATCATAAAATATAATTAAGCTCTGCTATTTAATATGGAAAAGGGCACTCTTTTTTCCTGTGTGCAAGTATAGCAGATTCTTTTGGTCGGTGATTATTTTTATTATTAGTATAATTCTCTATCAAGTGTGAGGATAAGGGCCCGGTATTGTCGAAAACTTTTTACTTAAAGTGGCCAGTTTCTTTACCGTGGTTTCATTGTTCCTCAAGAAATCGAGCAATCTTCTTTTTTTATGAATCTAGTGTGCATAAACAGGAGTGTCCTCGAGGACACATGGTCCAGTGGTTAGATCCAGTCCGAATAATGTAAATAATCATAATACATCATCTCAGAGATATAGACAAATACCAATTTATAATTGGTAGGGGTTATTCCAAAGAGGACTTTAATGTAGTAAGAGCTCAATGTAAGTTACAGAGCAATTTATAATGATAAATTAAGAAAACACCATAAAACCGAGAAAGATTTTTCTTCATTTATCATTATATATATACGTGTGTGCATGTGTGTGCGTGTGTGCAACTATATAGAAAATAAGAAAGAACTCGTTAGGCAAATAATCCGAAGTTCTTTAGTGTTTTTGTTTTATTTTTAAAAAAACAGTGCTCGATACAAAAGTAGATCCTAAATAATAATTATTTTTTTAAAAAATATGATTCGTTTGCTACATAAGAATTCTCATGTTTCAAAAAACAAGAGCTGAAAACTTCAATATAAAATATATATATATTATATTGGAGATTTCAGCTCATGTTTTTGAAACATGAGAACTCTTATGTAGCAAAGGAATCTTTTTTTTAAAATAATTATATATATATATATATATATGAAACAGCCTGTCGCCTCTGAGTGTTAGCTTCAAGGTTCACTTTTATATTTATATTTACATACGCTCTATCTCTGATATTGAGCACTTTATACATATATATATATATATATGTGTGTGTGTGTGTGTGTGTGTGTGTGCGTGCGTGCGTGCGTGTGTGTGTGTGTGTGTCTTTTGGATTTTAAGATAATATTTGACAATAGAATTTGCTCTACTGTAGGTAGAACTGGCAATACCTTTGTATAAATCTCGTCATTTTTGATGGGTATTATTCTAGTTGAACATAATGCAATACAGAGTAAGATTAATTTCGATACAATTGCAAAATTAAATATTTGCCCTTGGCATGTGAGAGAATGGTTAGCAATCTAGTTTAGTCGACCATAACTATTGTGTTCAATTCTCATTGGGAACCGCATACTTGTTTTGTTTAGTAAACTTCTATTTAAATATTACAATAATTCTTTCATAGTTTCAATACTACATCTAACATTTTTGCTTTTGTTCTGTTTTAAGCTACTAAATTTCTATCTTTTGCTTTTTTTTTTAATAACTTTAAGAAAAATTTCAGCAACTAAATCAACTATGGCAAATTTCCTGTTTTTTGTGGGAGAGACTGTACTTCTAATATTTTCTGGTGTACCCTATACTTCTAATAGCATATTCCGGGCAAAGATATGTGCAGCTGCAATATAAAAAAATAACATTTAATAACCTCAAACAATTTTAATTCTGTTTTCAAAGTAAGCTATTTTGTTTAATTTTCATAATTTTCAATCTTGAGTTTAATTATTTTTTTTTCTTTTTAAGGCCTGCCTATGTTTCTATTTCCAAAGCGAAGCGGGTAGGTGTCATCTCTACTCTCATTAGCCAATTCACGATCTTAGTTTTCTTTTAACCAGATACATTAAAATATTGACTTGAATAAATTATGATGAAAGTATTCATAAGATGAACAGAAAAAATCGTGTGTTTAGCAATTGGGGAAATTTTAGAAAATAAAATATGTTTTAATTATTATTTTTCTCCGGATGAAATAAGTGTTAAAAAAAAACGTTTTAATGACGTCACGTTGAAATTTTTAAATTGGTTTCAGTAAGATATTTGAAAACCGGAATTAACTAAAAAGAGTTACAGAAACTGACACAAAATCCAATCCTTCAAAATGAGTGTAGGCGTACTGAGAAAAAAATGTAATAAAATAAAAATAGGAACGATGGGAAATTTACCGATTACATAAGACAACGAATTCGAAAATTTGAAAAACCTTTTGAAAGTTGGATATACAGAACTTGTCAATATTATTCAAACAAACATGCAAACATGTTTGAAATAAATCTTACTGCCGAAATACATATATATATTTATAGATATTATAAATTAATTGATTTAAAATATGGTTTTTCTGCTACACAGTTCTAACCATGTTTCAAAAATGGAAGCGGAAATGCTCTGTAAATTTACAATGAGCACTATTTTCTAAAAATAAAAATGTCTATAAGAACACCGGATTATATATCCTACTGTTCTTTCTTTTTATTCATATATACATATATATATAGATATAGATATACACATATCGCTCTCTGTCTGTCTGTCTGTCTGTATATATATATATATATATATATATATATATATTATAATTATTTTTTTAAAATACGATTCCTTCGCTACATGAGAGTTCTCATGTTTCAAAAACGAGAGCTGAAAACCTCAATATAATTATTAAAATTAAATTGAATTAAAGTATCAAGCCCTGTATCATCCTCAAGCGACATTTTAATTCAATTTAATTTTAATAATTATACTGAGGTTTTCGGCTCTCGTTTTTGAAACATGAGAACTCTTATGTAGCGAAGGAATCATATTTTTTCTTAAATAATTATAATTTAAGCTCTACTTCTGTATGGAGCACTGTTTTTTGTGTTTTTTTTAAATAAAAAAAAAAAAACATACTAAAGAACTACGGATTATTTACCTAACGTGTTCTTTCCTATTTTTCTACATATCTGCACGCACACACACACACACACACGCACACACATATATATTCTGTTTATATGTTATTTTTATGGACATAATTTATTATTTAAGTAAATGCTCTATTTTTTTTTTAAATAAACAATATTGATGACATTTGCCGGCCTGAATGTTCGAGAAATTTCGTAGAAAATATGCGCTCTCAGACAGAAATTTTTCGAACATTCAGGCCGGTAAATGTTATTAATACTGTTTATTTAAAAAACAGTGCATTTACCTAAATAAATTATATCTATTAAAATAGCGTATATACAGAAATATATTAAATAATTGTAGAACTTAACCCATTTCATATCTCTGATTATATTTCTGAGATGAGTTATTATTTACTGTAATTCACCTCTCGAAGTTCTGCACTGCCTTAACCAGGTATTGATCTCACAACACTTTGGAGAGGGGAATTAACAGGAGATAACTGATAACTGACATCCATTAGACACGGCACGTGGAACTAGAACAGTCTACCCCAGCGAGCGAAATAAAGGGTTCAGTTCGACATTCCAACCACCTGAAGAAGGCCGGAGCGTACAACGGCCGAAACGTTGTAATAAATATGGCGACAAAAATGAGGACAATAGTCCAAATAAAGTAAATAGTGTATATTTTATATATATATATATATATATATATATATATATATATATAGATATATAGATATATAGATATATATATATGTATGTATGTATGTATGTATGTATGTATGTATGTATGTATGTATAAGGTATATTTAGGCGGCGAGTATTCAACCAAACAAGTTTAATCAAAAAGAACTGACAAGTTCTGTCTGTTTCATTTTTTATTATATTTTTCCAATTTTCGGATAAAGTGTTGAGTATTGTGTTCAAAGGTATAGGTACACTGTACGAGGCTCATATTTTGTAATTTTTGTTCCAATACCTTCGACTTTCCAGTCATTATGAAGAAGCGATGTGGTTTTTGTTCGGTATTTAGAAGTACTACGTCTGCATCTTTGTATTCATTAGGACGCTGGACGTTTGAAATGGTCTGTCGTGACGCCATGCTTAACTGCTGTTGCGAATGAGGCGGTACGAAAAGAATACGATTTATTTTATTTTAGTAATTAATTTCTTAATTTCTAATATTAAATTAATATGTGTGCACATCAATTATATCATATGCACTTCAAGATAATTTCTCCTGTGGTGAATGATATTTAATGATTTAATGTTGGCTTTTTTTTTATATCGAGGTTCACCCTTTTCTTTCTTTCTATCTATATGTATCTATCTATCTATCGCTGTCTCTTCCTTTCTATCTATCTATCGTTGTCTATTCCTATCTATTTATCTATCGTTGTCTATTCCTATCTATCGTTGTCTATTCCTTTCTATTTATCTATCGTTGTCTATTCCTATCTATCGTTGTCTATTCCTTTCTATCTATTTATCTATCGTTGTCTATTCCTATCTATATATCGTTGTCTATTCCTTTCTATCTATCTATCTTTGTCTATTCCTTTCTATTTATCTATCTATCTTTGTCTATTCCTTTCTATCTATCTATCTATCTTTGTCTATTCCTTTCTATCTATCTATCTATCTATCTATCTAGTCACTTCCTTTTTATATATCTATCGGGATTACTTCCTATCCATCTATCTATCCATCATGGCCCCTTCCTTTCTTTCTGTCTATCGTGTTTTGTTCATATCTATCTATCGATCTCTCCATCTATCTATTGTGGTCTCTTCTTTTCTATCTATCTATCCATCTATCTATCTATCTATCGTGATTACTTCCTTTCTTTCTATTTATCGTGGTCTATTATATCTATCTATCTATCTATCTATCTATCGTAGTCTTTTCCTTTCTAACTTTTTTTTTACAGCGAGGTTCACCCTTTAGAAGGTCCGGGGGCTACTCGACTTAGAGCGTAACGTTTGGAGGTCAATTGTGTGTATAGAAGTTGAAGATAACAGTTAACCCTATCTTTGAAAAAGTTAAGATTGTAGTAATCGAGGAAACATCCTCTTGGGAGTCTGTCTCACAGAACAGTGGTTCGCGGGAAGAAGCTGTTCGAGTGGAACTTATTTCTCCCCGATGGACTACAGAGGGAATGTGGGTGGTTTGCTACTATGTAAGTGGCATGGAGTGTTCTTGCTGTGAAGTTTTGCCTTGTCGGGACAAGAAAATGTAATTCGTCCGAGCATTTTCCGTGGAGGTAGCGGCGGAGCAGCGAGAGCCTTGCCACATCCCGCCTGTGGGAGTGAGGTTGAAGAGTAGAGAATAATTCTTCGCCAACAAGGATTCGGAAACGCTTTTGAACTCTATCATGACTGGAAAGTGAGGTATGGACAGCTCCCGCTCAAATATGATAACAGTACTCCATCTTTGGTCTGATCTAGCTCTTGTAAAGGTAGAGGACAGCAGGAGGAGCCAGGTACTTACTACAGCGGTACAGAGAGCCGGCCATTTTACCTTAATCTTTAGCAATAGATCGTATGTACGAGTCCCATTTCAGGTCGGCTGTGAATTTGAGGCCTAACAGTCTTTCAAGGCATGGTTCTTCCCCGAGAAGACCTGTTCATCCTGATTGGCGGTAGTTCGAGGTTAGATAGACGATGATGGAATGCAACTATTTTGATCTATGAGGCATTGAATGTAACCATCTAGTTTATATCCAATTATGCAAGGATTGTGCAAGGTCATTACAAAAATAGCCATTTCGTTTCAAAACTTCTGGTGCCTTATCAGGTGATGGTGTTGAATATATATATATATATATATATATATATATATATATATATATATATATCGATAGTTTTAGAGGTGCGCCCGTATATAATTATATTATCGGCATAGATGTTTACAAATTGTTATAAAATAAAATAAGACATATCTCGGCTGATTTGCAGGCAAATAAACTAACATACTCAGGAGCGAGAGCCGGATGAGAACGGGACAAGGCCCCGTCACAAAATGACCATTATCGTTGTTTACGCATAGGCCCGACGCACGAGTTCCGGTCGAAAAATAAAATAATATTTTAAAGTGTTCTTATTTCTCGACCAATAAAAATACTTCCCTCCTAATTATACTAGCGTCGTTTTTCGAGCCTGTTAAGCCATAAAAAACGCCATAAAAGGGGTCACACGGGGAAGTACTAGCAGTCAACAGGAGGCCAGTGAAGAGATCTGTCACGTTCAGTCTGGGCAGTCAGCAACAGTCAGCAGGAGGAGAGCCATGCCAACCAGTGAGAACTACTATGTGAGATCAACCCAGACCCGGAGCCGGCTTATGAACTATACCACAAGGTAGCTGTCCCAAAACCACACGTTCCTGTTGAAATAAATTACGTAAATCTGCTGTTGTCGTATTTCTTTCTTGTAGCCATACGCTTGTCTATAACAAAATGATCTGAGTATATTCTTAAGCTGACTTATATAGATCAAAAAGAAGGTTGGTCAGCGTACGGACACCTGGGGGACGCCTGCGTTGACCTGTCTCCGGGGGACTGGCCACTAAAAACTACCTTCATGGACCTACCTTTTAGGAAGGATTTTATGATCGAGAAGACATTCCCGATGATTCCATAGCTTGTGTCGTAAGCCACACCTTGTCGAAGGCGTTTGAGATATCTAGTGCTATGGTCTGCGAGGCGTGTTTCTCGTCAAGATCCTCGCTGATTCTGTGAATGATGGTAGTTAGGATGTCGGCAGTGGATCAGGCCGATTGAAACCCATACTGCTCGTCGCAGAAAAGGGTTTTTCTTTTCTAGGTGCTCGACGATCTTCTTATTGATTATGGCCTCAAAATGCTTATTGCTGACACCGAGGAGAGTGATGGGTCTGTACTGGGAGGGGTCTTTGAAAACCGGGCATAAGCTTGACACGTTACAGAGACTTGGGAAGGAATTCTCCTTTAAGCAGCTTTTGATTAACTTTGCTAGGATTGGGGATAATTCCGGGTTTATATTCTTAAAAACAACCTCTAGAATTTTATGTGGACCAGTGGCTTTGTTAGGGACAAGGCCTTTGATAAATCTAGAGACTTTTCGTGCTGATTGTTTGCTGATGGGGATGGTTTTTGTCATCTAACGTTTAAAGGCAAAGACGCTGGTGAAGAGGTTCGGCTTATGTGTCGATAAAGATATGACCTCGGGGTCATTTATAATTGTGGGCACAGCTGCTTTACCTTTGTTCATAATTTTGTTGGTGATCTCCCAAAATTCATGGGATCTAATAGAATTTTCAGTCTGTCCTTGCATTGGGTACTATTCTTTTTTATCAAATTATAGCATTAATATGTTATAAAATCTTTACAAAAAATAGCCATTTTGTTTCTACACTTCTGGTGTCTTATCAAGTGATGGTGTTAAATATATATATATATAGTCATCCATATATATATATATATATATATATATATATATATATATATATATATATATATATATATATGTATATATATACATATATCTCTCGTCGAATTCGACGTATGAGGTCAAGCAGATCAGTTCCCAGGAAACCGACAGCCCGACAATAGCACATGAGCTTTGATTATAGTGGTAAAGTTTTCGAACAGGACCATCCACACTTTACACACACATATATATATATATATATATATATATATATATATATATATATATATATATATATATATATATATATATATATTATCATCCACAGACAAACTGTTTCACTGTATCACAGCTCATCAGTGTGACTAGACGTCCGATTGCTTCTAGCTAGGATCGAAACCCGACTGAATTAGCGTCAGTCGGGGATTCTATCACTAAGCCGTGGCGCACGGCAGGGACGAATGTGAATTTAAGCGTATTTATTTTTAGATGAACACACAGTGACTGAGAGAACTAAATTCGATTTACCGAAGAGTATAGCATTATTAGCCGTAATATATATATATATATATACATATATATATATATATATATAGTTGGATTGATGTGAGTTTGTGACCCTGGGTTTCACGCTATTTGCGATCGTCAGACAAACGATAGACGATGATGGAATCTAACTAGCTTGATCTTCGACGCATTGAATGTAACCATCCAGTTTTTATCCCATTAGGTAGTTTGTGAAAGATCGGAAGAGAGATCGGTAGCCGATCTCTGACCATCGATAGTTTTAGAGGTGCGCCCGTATGTAGTTGTATCATCGGCATAGATGTTTACAAATGAACTGAATATATTCTTATAAGGAGTTTGTCTGACGATCGCAAATAGCGTGAAACCCAGGGTCACAAACTCACATCAATCCAACTACATATTGAGCGCTTTCCAATAAGCACCGCGCATATATAATATATAAATAATATATATAAAAATTGTCACCCACAAGGACGAAGAGACCCTTTTTGATTCTATCGAGAATGGAAATTGTCGTCTGGGCAGCTCCCGACAATAGAATGATATATAAGCTTCTCCGACAACAACTACTGTATGTTGGTAGTTTTTGGAAGGTCTTCAAAGATACATTACAGTCTGTTGTTAATAAGAAAGCACATTCTGTTTTATGGTCTTTGATCACGATGTCTGGACGATTAGCTTTGATTATTCTGTGTGTATTGTAAATGTTATGGGGTCCCCCCCTTTTTCATACAAGTAGACTCGACCAGTGTGTACTTGGAGTGCTGCCGTTAAATACCCAGAGTCAGTCAGAGAAAGAGCAGAGATTGTGATTGAGTTGGAGTTAGGGTAATAGTGTGAGGTAACCGCTTGTAGAAGTCACAGTTACAAGCACGTAGAGTCTAAGGAAGTCCTACTTTGAGACTGGATTTACCAGACTGTGTATATATATTATTATTGCTACTAACCCGTTTCTGGATTTACTAACCGTATTACCAATTGTACTATTGTGTAAATACATTTATTTCTTATATTTCATTCCTGCGTTTGTCATTCATTGGAGACCGAATTTCATCTCGGAATCCACAACAGTAAATTCCCATAAAATTCTTACAAGTCCAACGTCTATAACCGTGTTAAGGTGATGTTCATACCAATTTCTTGCAGTCTCCTTCCAGTACAATTATTGGCCTACCCTGTCATGGCGAGTTTTATATTTGGAGGATGCTAATACCGTGCAGCCTGATAGAGAAGATGATCAATTTTTTATGGATTTTCGGATCAACACAATTTTTTGTGTTTTGGATCAACGCAATTTTTCAGTATGTTTGCTTGGTAATTTCTAGTTAGCAAGCATTGGTCTTGTGCAGCAAGAATAAAACCTTTTGTTTTAGCTTCTAATCCTGCACTATGTAATCACTGATGGGTACGAGGTTTGTCTACACCAACTTGTATGGCACTGACAGAGTTTTGGCCATGAATAGGCTTATCTTGCCATCGTTTCTGTATTTAGTCCATTGCATTTGCTTTTGCTTTCTTTTTTAGGTTCTTTGTGGCTGTAGTAGGTGCATTATGGTTTATTTGCACTTCTTCACCCACTTAAAATTCTCTTTTAAATTTGTTGGCTTCCTTTATTATCAGATAAAGTTTCTTTTTTTTTTTTCATGTTCTTTGACACAGATCATCATCCATTCTTTTATAGTTTCCGGGTATCTTTGAAGACCAATTGTTGCGATTTTGCAAGGCAGTTCTAGCTGAACTAATCCTCTCCCTTCTTCGGATCTGTACATATATAGACGATCAACATATATAGATGATGCATGCGATGGCAAGTGAAAAGCATTCACGCTTTGACTTCCATTCGCTTAATTTCAGATATGGTCCAATTAAGGATATTGAAACTGTATTGCACCACGGGGACAGCCAAAGTTTTTATGGCTGATATTCCGTTTTGTAAATTCAACTCGTTATTTAACATCAGGCGTACACGCCTGTAATATTCTTTTTTTACTTTCTCCTTCATTTATGTATTTTTATTCTTCGCTGACTCTTAGGTTAATTATAGGCTTCTTGTTTCAGTTTCCTAATCTTTGTTACAAAATCTAGATCTATTGAATGTGTTTCTGTTATTCTCTCTTTCTTGAATGTTAGTTTTGCATATTTATCTAATCTTAAATCCATATCGATGTCATCACTGAAACATTTTACAGTATTGTGGATACACTTCAACTCATTGTCGTCTTTGGCAAAGAATTTGATAATATCCATGTAGAATAGGTTATTAAACATTTTCTTTTTAACTTCGTATTCATAGTTATTACTGTTTAGTTCATGCGAAAGCGGGTTTAAGAAATAGAGAGAACAGTCGGATAGTCAAACAATTGGTAATGGTAGTACATTTGGTGTGATTTAGGTATAATGTGGTTTTCTACAATTCCATGCCATATTTAAGGAAATTTATTATCACTGAGGAGACTTGGTATATTTCCAAAGTTTTAAGGATCTAAGACTGCGTCACACTATCAAAGGCTTTATGGTAATCTATCCAAGCTGAGCTGAGATTTCTACCTTTTTTCCTGCAATTTTCCTTGATCAATTTATTAATAGTTGATCCTTACAACCATATAAGCTTATTAACATCCCTTCTGTTGTTTTCACCGAGAAAAGAATAAGTACAGTTGGTCAGGACAGACGTGATCAATTTATACGTGGTGGGCAGACATGTTATTGGCCTATAATTTTTTATGGATCATCTTTTTCATCCGTTTTTGGTAAGAGATATGTAATACCTTCAGTAAACCATTCTGGAATTTCATTGGGGTTATTAATTTGCGCAAGAGTTTTAGGGATTTATGACAGATGATAGAGCCAGAAGTTGGGTACCTTGTCATTTCCTGGAGATTTCCATTTTGGGGATTTTTTTGTAGAGCTCGCCTAACATTATTCTTGGTTATTATTATTATTTATTAATTTACACTACAGTATGGCGGAGTAATGGATAGCGGCTCGGATTGAGGAATCGGAGAGCCGGGTTCGAATTTCAGTCGAATCCATTATATTCACTTACGTACTAATTGTTGTGGTCTTTTAAGGACCAGAAAGAAACGACCACGGGAAGAAAAAGGTAGGTTAAACCAGTGTATTGAAATAACAGATATATACAAAGTAAGAGTGTGATTAGTCAGCAGATAGAAGTGTCCATCCAAACTGTCAGGTTACACTGTGTCTCGACTGTCTTCTAGGAAGTCTCGCAGGTTAGTATTTATGAAGGAGGAAGAGTTCATTCTCATGTAGGTAGGTACCATAACACTGATACCCTTGGGAAAGGTATGGATCCTCTTCTTCTTCCCCAAGCTATGGGTAAATAGCAGGACAGACCGGGTTCTATAGCCTTGGATGGCAACTGGTCTACCGCAGAAATAAATGTTCTATATACCTACCCAATAATAATAATAATAACAACAACTCCAAGGGGAAATGTATGTAGACAACGTGCTCGCCAAGATTTGGAAAAAAATGGATTTTAAAATAGCAGTGGAACCCTATAGAAATAATTAAAAAAGAATACCTTGAATTTCCTTTCTAAAAAGAGGCGAATTTGTCGCACAAATTCAAACATGGTGGCGATAGCGGCACTACCACCCATCACATAAAAGAGACCCGACATGTCTTTCAAGCGTAAAGTAGCTCCGGCTAAATTGTTTGAAGATCTCTCCGAATGTTTTGTACAATTCTGTGTCAACCACCTGTAATAAATAAAAATGGGGAAAATAAAGAACAACATGAAAAATACCTGGGCTGTTCACAAGTCAGTATTTCAATAATCAATCATAAGGTTTCTAATTTTAGGTAGTGGACTGGGAAATAGTTTTCCACCACACGCAAATTTACCCGACTCCATTAGGAACATACTAATATATTAACTGCATCCACCTGCAAAAAAAGACTAAAAATAATGGAAGCTTTAATAATAAAAAAAAAAAAGCCAACTCTTAACAATATTAACTACGAACAAAGTCACAATGCTAACTAACCGTATTCGGAAATTAAAACAACCCTACCACACACTAAGACATACACAGAACACACACTCAATTAAGCTGAAAAATGGAATCATCCTTGATAATGGCTAAAAGGTATAGCCGAAAGCGCTCGGAAATATAAAACATTTGGACAGTTCTTACACCTTTGTCCAGAAAAGAAAACTCTTGTTAGAACATAAGAAAAATTAAATAAAAAGCAACCGTAGTACCTTGTCTGCCGTTTTTAACGAAACATGCATTATACATACATATATATATATATATATATATATATATATATATATATATATATATTATATTATTATTATTATTATTACTATTATTATTTAAGCATCAAAATTAATTATTTATGTACAAAAAGAAATACAATTTTTCTAACTTAAGAAAACATTAGAACGCTTTTGAGCAACGGAAAGGTCAAATAATTCACGACATTCTACACGCACACACATACGCGCAGACGGGCGCACACATACACTATGAAGAAAAATATTGCACCCATGAAAAATGCATATAAAAAATATATATAAACCGAGAAGTGTAAGCAGTCAATTGCTGATACACCCTGACAAGTGGGTGAAACGATTCCCGGAGAGTTCGTCTGTGGAACTCTGGTATCGGGATGCTGAAGGTACATCAATCAGCTCAGTGACAAACCTTTTACTTGTATTAATTATATCTGTCATTCCCCTTCTCCCCTCTCTCTATATCACATTTCATCAACTTAAAACTACCCCTCAAAAGTGTGTAAAAACTATATGTAAATTTAAAACATTTTTTTCACCTCTGGAAGAACCAGGTAAAAATCATACCCTGGGGGAAATAAATTATAACCAACGGACCCTTAAGGTTGTCTGTTTTCTATTTAAATTAATGATTGCTCTGTTTTGACATTGAGCTCTCTGGATTAGACCCTCCTTGGGATTATCCACACGGATTACCAAGCTTTTCATTACGATGAAAGGATAAGCGAAGAAGAAACTTTGAAAGCTCTTTGAATTTAGCAGTAAGTACTGTCAAGCATCCTGTCAGTCAATGTCGGTCGACCGGCTGATCGGTTGAATTCTCTGCCTTCGGGCGGGGAGGAACCCGAAGGAGGCTACGCCGAAGGGTGGATTCTCTTTCGGGGAGGTAAACCGACCCTGAACTCGTTTATACGGGTTCAATGGGCAAATTTTTGGCCGGGTCCACGGGCTCGGAGATCCCACGTTAAACCGGCCTTGTGCCACATGATGCCCTTGTAGGGATGGGTGACTGAATATCGTCAAGCATCTTTTCAGTATAATGTTCTGCTTTTCTTTTCATAAAACACATGTATATATATATATATATATATATATATATATATATATATATATGTATATATATGTATGTGTGTATATCTATACATGGGTATATGTGTGTGTATGTGTGTACACGCCTATATGTATGTATGTACGTGTATATGTTATTGTGTATGTGTGCATACGCATGTGTTTTTGAACACAGGAATAGGTCTTTGCTAGGTTAGATAATCGTTATATTTATTTTTTATATGTTTATATTTGATTTGTAACTTGTAGTCGATATCAATTTTGTCAAATTTTCTTAATTACACAGCGGCCTTTTCAGTAAATGCCCTTCGGTTTTAGTTTCCCCCGCCCCATCTCTCTCCCCACACCTTTTTCTTTTTTTTCTTTCCCTCCCCTCTTCTTCTCATCTTTAAGATTAGATCGTCTATTGTATGTGTATGTCACCACAAAATGTATTCTTTCCGGTTACATCTTTAATGTATTAGACATCCGGCAACATTCATATTTCTCTCACTTAAACCGTCTTTGACTCCCCTCTCTAAAACTTCTCTCTATTAAATATTAATCCCCCACCTTCTCTCGCCTGTTACCCCTCTCTATAGCTCTAACATCTGTCCCACACTCTCATACTTACACTCTCTCTAAATTTTATTTTTTATTTCCGGAGTTGTTTTTTTTTTCTGTTTTCTTTTTGAATTTGTAGGTCTGATGAATTGGATTGGATTTACGATTCCAATGGAATAAATTATGACCCTGGAATATTAGTGTTTAAGCCTTTTTTTAATTATATTTGTTATATATATATATATATATATATATATATATATATATATATATGTATATATATACACTATGACAATGTGGAAAAATTATTTGTGTGACGTATTTCGTGCTTCAGGACTAAAAAGTGATGCTTGCACACGAAGGTAGCGAGTTATTGAGAATTTGAAATCACATAAATATCATATTTATATACTGAGAGCAAATATGAATTTAACATTCTCAACGTCCCCTTTCTAGTGTGATCAATATATTTTCTATTTATACGTTATTTTAATAGATACAATTTATTTAAGTAAATGCTCTTTTTTTTAATAACCAGTACTAATTACATTTACCGGCCTGAATGTTCGAGAAATTTCGTATAAAATATACGTTCTCCGACAGGAATCGAACTTGTGTACTATACGGAACCGTCAATTGATCTGACGTGCTATACCACTCAGCTACCAGACGCTTTCTTTGTAGCTGAGTAGCATAGCATGTCAGATAATCAAGTAATAATTTACAAGCAACAGAATATTTGGGTTTTCAGTTTTTGTAGAGAACATTAATAATAAAGACATTTTCTGTTTTTCAAAACATTAACAATAATTTTAAACGAAAACTTTGAAATTCTACATTGTATCGCTCTGAATTGAACTTTCACACAAACCTGTTTCACATATGAAATGTGACAGTGTTTTATCGTAAACACTGAAAATAAATGCCCAAACAACCCCAAGCTTTGATAAAAACAGGAAACCTAATATCGCCAATTAAATATTTCAAATTAACGTCTCAGTATTCTGGATATGTTTAGAACATATTTCATATGAAATTTGCTGATGATCACTCTTAATTAGGTAATTTTTTTTAATACAAAAAAGAACGATGTAATAATCCAAGGGAAGTAACTCTTTCAAGACCAATTACCTCCCTTACATTCATAGATTTTTTTTTTCCTGAATGTTATTTTTCGGTTGATTTTTTTATCACATTAAATGTTCTACGCTTCGACAATGTTTCTCAAACCTGTATAGTAGAAATGGAAGGTCTTCTTAGATAATGGAGATTTCCACAAGCAAACAGTTGTCAAGTGTTATATAAACTGCTAAGTGGTCGGGATCAGCTATATATTTTTCCTATTTGTATCCCGTTGGTAAGAGAAAGTAATTGAGAATTACTACTACCATTGCCGTTGTGATTATGTTACAAAATCATACGGCGTATGCAAGAGAAAATTGGTTGTGAGGTACGTAGTTAAGTCTCTTGTGCTTTCAGCTCTTCTCCCTATATTTTTTTCCCTATAGAAAGAGGCAATTTCTTTATTCAAATTTGGATTTAAAAAAAATCATTTCAAATACCTTTCGAATTAATCCTTGATCTCTTTTAGTGAATTTGCAAAAAAAAAAAAAAAAAAAATGTGTAGAATTTTAGAATTACGCAATACTTAAAAATAGTTACTGGCATGAGACCGCTGGAAAAATGAGCATCGCAGGATAATAACGGCCTTAAACATGACGAAAACAAAACTTTATCGTCAAAATGTTTATGTTTTTATTAAGAGGAAAAAACAAAGTAATTTTTAATTATTTTTCAAAATTTTTCTGTCTTTATTAGAGCATTCTAACTTTTGATTGAAAAACCCCGTTTCTCTTCATCAGCGAAAGTCCTAGTAAATAACACGGCGGATTTTTTGTACATTTTTTTTTAAAGGCGGTCATTAATTTTGAAAATCTTGCAAAAATATAAATAATTGTCAGATTTTAATGAAACTTTCAGAAACTATTCATAAGTGATGGAAATTATTATAAATATTTTTTTAAAGTTATGGTAAAAAAATTTTTATATTTATTATCCCCCACCATAACTAATTTTATGAAAACTCTTGAAATTCAAATGTGTATATTTTTAGTGATTAATTAGTTAAAAGCACAAGGCTTTGAGGAAAGCAAATCATTTTTTTTAGTTGACACCCTTCTACCTTAAATTCAGCTCTGAATTGTAACATACAAAACTCAATAAAACAAAGATATTTAATTTCAAAAGCGTTTTGTTGCTTTTTCTTGTTTTTATGAATATGGATAATGTTACCTGAAAGCAAAAAAAAATGAAAAAAAAAGAAAGAAACGTTTTCGATGAAAAATAAATTTTTACAACAATTATTTGTTATTTCTTAAATTATTTATTTATTTTATTTTTTTTTACATTAAAGCTGTTAAAAATATAACTTTTTAAAAGTTTTTTTCTCCGTTACCAAAGCTCTGGTGTTCCATAGCGAAAAATCATATCCATGTGTGTATATAAATGCGTGACAAGAATTTTGTTGTATACATTCAGTTACCTTGGCGTATATGGATTTTTAAAAGTGGGTAAATGAATGACAAAAATTTAAAAAAACAAACTCCTATGTTACGCGTTTCGTCCTTCAACACAATGTTATCAAGGCGGCTTACTACCAAAACTGTCGCATGAAAACAATAAAACGGGTAAATATATAATTAAGGGGAGGTAACTCCTACCTAACTAATTTAGTAATATTTAATTAATATTAAACATTTTTTTGCCCTGCTTACAGTAATATTATGTTGAAACACATTTTCATGTTCTGTCACCGAAGTTAAGCAACGTTGAGCCTGGTCAGTACCTAAATGGGAATACTAGGTGTTGTAAGCTCTTATAAACAAGCATTGTGCCAGCTCGATAGTGTAATGAGACATTCATCTGCTTTCACAGGCTGAATGAAAAATATTTCTTTCCGTCTGTTGGAGGTACCTTTCCCTGATTGACTTTGAGCTTCTTACTATTGTTGGAGGAATTCCTTCCTGATTGACCATGTCTTTCTCCCACTAATGCCAGGTTGACCATGTCTTTATCACTCCTATTGGAGGAACCCCTTTCCTTAATTTACCATGTCTTTCTCCCACTCCTGCCTGGTTGATCATGTCTTTCTCACTTGTTTGGAGGAACAGCTCTCAGACTGACCAGGTCTTTAAGTTTGTGGCCGTACTCACGACGCTTGAACAATTGCGGGTGGGTCAGGCTATTAAACCATAGTTAGGGGTTGAATGACTAATGACTCTGAGGAATTCATTCTACTTTTAATAGCACTAGATTTTTTTATGCTGCTGGGATTCCGTTTATCATTCTCACTAGACCAAAGTCTTCTGGGGGTGTGGTGAAGGGGCTTATTCGCCGACCACTCAGGCTTTGAATTCAGAATTTTCCTTCTCCTAAATCGGTTGCGATCAAAGGCTATAGAGCTGTCTGTTCTATCTACCCATAGCTAGCCAGTGGGGTGAGGAGATGGATTCCGACCTTTTGCAACGGTATTTGTATGTAAGTATGCAATGACTGGAATTCGAACTCGGCTCTCCGATAACTAGACTGATAGTTTAAAGACGGAAAATATGACTCAGGACATTTTTTTTTTCATTTAGTACAACTTAAAAAATATTAGATGTGTGTAAAAGTTTCCAGCGAAGAAGTGACTCTGAGGAATTCATTCCACCTTTAATAGCTCTTGTTTTTTTATGCTGCTGGGTTGCACTTACCCTTCAAGCCAGAACAAGGTCTGCTTGTGGGGAGGTATTTGCCGACCACTCAGGCTTTAAAATCAGAGTTTTCCTTCTCCTAAATTGGTTGCCAACCAAGGCTATAGAGCTCATTCTGTTCTGCTATCTAACCATAGCTAGCTGGTGGGCGATAGATTCCTACCTAATGGTATTTGTATGTAAGTATGCAACGAACTCGACTGGAATCCGAACTCCGATAACTAGACTGATGGTTTAAATACGAAACATAACCCAGGACTATTTTTTTTCATTTAGTAAAACTTAAAAAATATTAGATGTGTGCAAAAGTTTCCAGCATAGAAATAATTTTTCAGCTGTGGGGAAAAAGGGTTTCAAAAACAGAGTCCTAGTTGCAATGTGCAATTAACAATGGCTTAGCGACTTACTTTTTTTTCAGTTTGTCCAAATCTCCATCTTCTTTAAGTTTCAATAGGGCCCAGTTAAGGTAATCTCGGTATGGAGCTCCTTTTGGGAAGGCAAAAGCGTAGGTCTTGTCGCCGATGGGTTGAATATGAGAGAGGAGGTCGCAGTTCTTTCCGGCATAATACTCGTTGACGATCTGATCGTGAATAAACGCGTAATTACCTTTTTCTACTTTCTTTACAGCTTCATTTACGTCCTTTACAAGTTCCTGTAACAACAAAAAGAAAAACATTGCTAGTGCTTTAAAACAATTTAAAACAAAAAAACAAAAAAAGAAAACACACGCTCCCCAAATATATTCACAGGGCCGAGGAAACCTCGACGTGGTGTAATAGTTTTGTTTTGTTTTTTTGTTTTTTTTTTGGGGGGGGGTGTTTTTCAGCGTTTCACCCCAATTATATATACATAAATAAATAAATATTTAAAAAAAATAATTATAATCTAAGCTCTACTTCTGTATGGAGCACTGTTTTTTAAAAAGAAAAACAAAAATACTAAAGAACACTGGATTATTTACCTAACGTGTTCTTTCCTATTTTACTAAATACCTGCACACACACACACACACACACACATATATATATATATATATGTGTGTGTATATATATATATATATATATATATATATATATATATATATATATATATATATATTAAAGCGTTTCACCCCAAGCAAGGCGAGAAGCCACTAGGACGCAAGGGGTTACAGAAAATTTGGAGCAAGATCAGATAGGAGTGATAGAAGAAAGGATGAGGAGAAGAGTAGTGGATAGATCAAGACAACTGGAGATGTCGATTGACATTACAATTGAATAGCTGGAGATTATAGCTCTTAGGAAAAATGGAATAGGGAAGAGAGTTCCACAGGCGAGAGGTGCGAGACATGAAGCTATTGGAGTAGAAGAGACGGCTACATTTAGGAGTTTCGACAGTGAAAGTTTGAGAGCGGGATGCCAGCCTCGTAGGGCGCTTGAACTCATGAAGCCTGGGAACCAGCGAATGCGGCTCCTCGGAGCAATTACCATGAAAGTATTTCTAAAACAGACAGAGAGAGGCGACGGCACGTCTGTGAGAAAGTGACTGTAGACGAGATGCCAGAGCAGGGCCAATTATATTGCATATCCGCCTCTGGAGCCTATCAAGAACCCCGAGGCAAACAGAATGGGGCTCCAGACCAAATATGGCAGCAATACTCCATGCAAGGGCGAATTGTTGATTTGTAGATCTGGAGGATCGATTCCGGGTAGAAAAATTTCCTGGCGCGGCACAGGGAGCCAACTTTTCTTGCGAAGGACGATGCAATTGAGTTCCATCTCAGGTCAGCAGTCAACGTGAGGCCAAGCAGGCGCAGAGAGTTGCTCTCGAGAAGTTGAGCGTCAGACATACTTGCTAGAACAATTACTGAGTAGTGAGTTCGATTCTCACTGGGTGCTCCAAACTTTCGGCATTGTGCTACATATTACTATATTCACAGGGCCGGATTTAGGCCTTAAGAGGCCCCAGGACTAATAAAATTTTGGGGCTCATTCATTCCGTAAATTCACCCACGTGTCTATAAAATGTATATAAACGCATCAAAATTTAAAAAGGCCTCTTCAAAAGAGGGCACCAAATATTCTAAAGTGTTTCAAATTAGTTCAAAGGAGCCCCTGTTTTTTTCTTTCATTCTCTCCTTTTTTCTTAGCGTGTATTTTCTTTCTTTCGTTCCTTATTCTTTCTTTTTTCTTTCTTTTTTCTTTCTTTACTTCCTTTCTTTCGGTCAGTTATTTTCTTTCATTCTCTCCTTTTTTCTTAGCATGTATTTTCTTTCTTTCTTTTTTCTTTCTTTCTTTTTTCTTTCTTTACTTTCTTTCTTTTGTCCTGTTATTTTCTTTCATTCTCTCCTTTTTTCTTATCATGTATTTTCTTTCTTTTTTCTTTCTTTCTTTTTTCTTTCTTTCTTTTTTCTTTCTTTACTTTCTTTCTTTTGTCCTGTTATTTTCTTTCATTCTCTCCTTTTTTCTTATCATGTATTTTCTTTCTTTCTTTTTTCTTTCTTTCTTTTTTCTTTCTTTACTTTCTTTCTTTTGTCCTGTTATTTTCTTTCATTCTCTCCTTTTTTTAGCGTGTAATTTCTTTCTTTTTTCTTTTCATATATCTTTATTCTTTTTCAGTTTTATCAGGGCCTGCGGACCTACTAGTCTTGTGGTCCTTGAACTGCAATCCATATTACCCCATATGTAAATCCAGCATTGTATATTCATCAGGATGTTCGGAAAAGGATAGCGTATTTTACTATTATCAATTTTGAGTGACTGATTGATGGATTGATTTTTTACGGCTTATCAACCTTTCGCAATGTTATTTTAAAAACGGGACCTATTTTTAGATTGTAATTTTACATGTAAAGTTTTGAAGATTTAAGGATTTATTGATACAAGTCTTACTGATTAACCCATAGTTAAGGGAAGAAGAACAGGATTCATACCTTGCATTTGCGCGTAAGTGAATATTATAAACTCGACTGGAATTGGCCCTCGGCTCTCCGTCTTTTAATTCCGAGCCACCATCGATTATACCACACGCACATCTGGAATTCCCAAGCAGTCACCCATCCAGGTACTGACCAGGCTCAACGTTGCTTAACGTGATCGTAAGCTTTGAATTATGGGTGAACCAACCAATGCAAAAACCAAATTTAAACGGTACGAACTTGAGTCTAGAATCAGTTCGTCATTTTTTCACTCTAACAATGTGTCATTTCAGAGTTAAACCCCATGGTAAATTATAAATTTAGAAGGCAATATAGTCGCCACTATTTACGTCGGATGCCGGTGTTTTGCAGTAAGATCTGTGTGCAGAACTCGAAGTTGGCTAGGAGTCAAGGGAGTAAAAAAGAGAGAGGACATCAGGACTATTTTAAAAGCTGCAGGAAAAAGCCTCAAAATGGGTATGTGTTGTGCTGAGATAACCCAACTTCCCCATTCACGATAATGGACGGACTGGTTGCCGATAAAGTACGACCACAGTGAACAGTACAAGAAAAGGTCTTCGTTTATTAACACCATTGCGGTTAGCTTACTCCTGACTCTGTTGTCTCTGTATTTTGACATACCTACATCCGATTATAAAATTATTATTGAAAACCACACTCGGGTTTACTTTGTTTATTATATCTTGCACGAGATATAACAGTATGGATTAAAAGATCAAATCCATGGAACTCAATGACGGAGATCAGCGGGCGTTGAGGTGCTGTTGGAAGGGATGGAAAAAAAGGAAAAAAAAGGAAGTAAAAAAAAAAAAGAAGGGAAAACAAAGATATAGAGAGGTGTGACCAAGATTGCTGTTTGAGGGGAGGGTCGTTTCTTTTTAATTTTTTTATTTTTTATTCTAACCTGTTCCCCGACGACGTCTTGATGTTTCTAGTAGTTTTTTTCTTCTTCTCCGGGAAGGGAAGAGGTGGGGGTAGGAAAAAAATGTCTGTGTCTTGGAAAAAAAGGGAGGGTAGGAAAAGTATGGTGGGAAGGAAAAAGAAAAGCAAGAAACGTTTCTGACGTTTCTGTGTCCAAGGAATGTGTATAATTTTTTTTTTTTTTAGTGAAGTATCGTTTCATAGAAGATAAAAAAAATTTACTGGCGACAAGTAGAAATTACTTACCAGTTATGTCAATCATTGTTTGTTGAGAGTGAGATTCTTTACGCTAAGAGGGAAAAGACGAGCATTCGGTTTCTTCTCTTTTTGTCTCGTTTTGGCTGAGAAGGAAGTGACGTAGGGCGTTTCTGATTAGTCGCCTGCTATTTCAAGCTCAGCAATGACAGTTATTTATATATGTCCGTTGTTGTGTGTTTGGTGAATTTTTTTTTTTCAGGATCGTCTACCGGAATAGGGTCTCTTGGGTGAACAGGCATGATGTTGAAAGACCCAAAAATTGCCATGGCCCCAATGAGGCGATCCTGCGCACCCTTTGGAGTGTATTCATAACAAACTATGAATTTTGAAAGATTGGTACTGATATAGATGCAAAGGTTTGAGAATTAATGATAGTAACGTGTCCGATAAACCTCAATCTAGAAATATTCCGGACATATCAGGTTGAAACATCGGTTCCCGTGCGTTCGCCGATGAAATGTCGAGTTTGGTCGGTACCTGGAGGGATGGCCACTTGGGAATACCAGGTGATGTAAATTTGGATGTGCGGTTGGCATTATCCAATGGCGCGAAATTGTTAATCAGAGAACCGAGTTACAACTCCCTACGGTCGCTAACAGTTATTTGGGGAAATGGGCATTTTATACTCCCTTGGCAAGTTCGAGATGTTACAAGGTTAGTTGATGCGTACGTATATTTCACGCGCCAACTGAACTCAGCGAGCTGCAGGGATAGGATGACCATCAGGGCCAAGATAGAAATGCCGTAAAATGACAAAAAGACTCCAGAAACAAGTTTACAGGGGTATTGAGAAAATTCTCGATATCATTGGAGACAGTAGATCTTCAGCAAAGAAGCAGACTGATAAAAACGAAATAGTACTCAACAATATACGGCCCTCGAAGTCCCTCATAATACAGGGTGCGATGAATAAATCGTCGTCTAAATTACGCAAAAATGAAATAACACACATCTTATTTTAACAGCTATATTTACCAAAATTGCATAAACATATCTTAAAGAGTAAATTTATTCAATAAAATCGCCATTGGCTTCAAACACAGCCTCCAGACGTCTTCGGAATCTCCTGTAATTCTTCTCGACGCTCTCCTTGTTTAAGTTGTTCCATAATCCTTTCAGTTGTTTAAATGGTTCCATAATCCTTGACTTCAGTTCATCTTTGGTGTTAGAAGGAGTTTTGTTGGTCTCTCGATCAACTGCACCCTACACATAATAATCAATGGGGTTGCAGTCTGGGGAGTTAGGTGACCTGATATAAGAGGTGATATGGTCGCAGAAATTGTCTGATAGCCATGACTGGGTTCTCCTCCTCGTGTGGCATGATTCAAAGTTCTGTTGCCAGACATAGGGTTTTCCAGCAGCTACCCCCTTGACCCAAGGTAGCACTAACTCCTCAAGGCACTTGATGTAGGCCTTCGTGTTGTCACTGTGGAAAGCTGAATAGAGGCATAGCGTCGCTATTACTAGTGATCACTCCAAACACTATGATGTTGACTGGATATATCTTCCAGCTCTTTCCGAATTCTCTGCACTGTCCTTAGATTGACACACAAACACTCTGAAATCTTCGTATTGAAGCTTCCGGTGCGAATGCCAAGCAGTAGAGCATTCCGTTTCCAAATTTCTGGCGGAGTAAATTGCCCAACTGACCCTACTATACTTTGCATCGAAAAACAAAAAAAAAACCATGCACACACGCGAAAGCAAAATATAAAATGGCGACAATTTACCCATCGCATCCTATATATATATATATATATATATATATATATATATATATATTATTTGTGATTGTCATCACTTTTTGGGAAAAATAGTAGAGTTATTTCCTGTTACCTTGTCCATGGTTTGGGCCTTTAGTTGTTCTCCTCGACTGGCTGCCACCCAAAGATAGACAGTCGAGTTTGCATTGATATTTAACCCATAGCTGGAGTTGGATTGGAGAAGACATAGATTCGGGCTTTTCTCAAATTTCTGTCGGTGTGAATTGAGTCATGCTGCACTGTTTCTCACAGACAGTGCTCAACTGACCCTAATATACTGGACAAAATCAAAAACAAACAACGCGCATGCGCGAAATCAAAAATATAAAATGATGACAATTTACTCATTACACCCTATATATATATATATATATATATGTGTGTGTGTGTGTGTGTGTGTGTGTGTATGTGTGTGTGTGTGTGTGTGTGTGTGTGTGTTAGTAGGATGTATAATAGTTTCCGAAACAAAATTGAAGATAATGAGACAAAGTTGAAAAGCTTTGAAACGACGCGTTTTCTGACGCGACGTGTGTTAGGCTCGGCTGCAAACAAACAAATATTTTCTGGTCTCCGATCGTTGGATTTGATAAGCTAATTAAATTTATTGCCCCACTAATCCTCAAAATATCCCAATTCATTTTCTTTACACACAGTTTTTGTCTTTCGTTCCAACCTGAAGAAACCGAACCTCACACACTTCACATCGGCGGCGAAACGAGCCGTTTAAAATCCTTTTCCACTTTGGATCTCCGACCATAGATCTTGTTATCATGATCACTCAAATACCATTTAAAAATGATCGCAGGTTTGAAATCTGTTCCTCTGATTGTTGAAAAATCATCCAAAGGAAGAGATTTTTTCTTATTTTCCAGAGGACCCAATTTGTATTTCTCTGAGCGTTGCCACAACGAGATTAAAATCAAGGCATATGGAGAAAATCCTGTCCGAATACGTCATTGATTATTAACGTCTTCGCTTTTAGGTATTGGTAAGCAGAATAGAATCGTAATTTTTCACAATTTTTTATGAGACAAAATTGCAAATTCAAAAGGATTACTTACGCCTCTGGTGTTCATTGTCATCATCAGCCACATTCTTTCATATGGATCCTTTTTGACGGTTTTAAAAAACTCTTCCAGTTCAGTTCCTTCGAGTATTCCGTATCGGACCTTTGACATAAGACAAAGATTACATGTCAGTATTTCCAAAATTAATACAATGCTTCAAATTATTTAAATTACCTGTTTTTGTTTTTTTTGTTTTTTTTTCTAAGTTCAGGTCAAAATAGTGTAAGCATTTTCAAACACTCTGCAGCTATACGTTAAACAGTTGGTCTTGTATCTCGAAAATTCATTTTTATTCTAAAAATAAATAATTGTTAATGAAATGCCCACTCGTAAAAGAAATATTCTTTTTTTTTTAATGATTTTATCCCATTGCCCATGGGAAAGTTATGAATCCTCTTCTCCTCCCAGCTATGGATAAATAGCAGGACAACCAGGTTCTGTAGGCTTGGATGGCAACTGGTCTACCGCAGAAAGAAATGGCAACCTACTGCGGGAAAAAATTTGGCTCGTCAGTCATGTATCGAAAGATAAATAATTGCCTAAACGTGTATCACGCATGGTACATAACTGACTGAAGGCGATAATACCACTGAGACGCTAGGGTTTACTGGGAGTGAAAGAGAATGAAAAGACATTAGTTTAGGAGAAAGGACAAAACAGAACGAGTTTCATGAAGACACAAGATGATGATTAGCATCACATTTATATTTTTGGCGATTGTAGATGGCCGGGAATCAAGAAAGCAGAAGACAATTCCACAAGCGAGAAGTGCGAGAAAAAAAGACTGTTAGAATAGAACAGAAGGTTGCATCTAATTCAGCAGTAAAACGGTGAGACCTAATTGCCAATCTAGTAACAAGCTTAAATTCATGCAGTCGAAGCACTAAGGATCAAAGCTCATCAGAACAGTTGTCATAAAAATATTTGTAGAAAAGACATCGGGAAGCCACGTCACGTTGGTGAGAAAGTGACTGAAGTCGAGATGTTTAGTCAGGATCAATTATAGTTGAGACCCTTCTTTGAATTTTGTTAAGAATCTCGAGATATACAAGAGGAGAAGTTATAGCAGTAATATTCAATTCATGGGTGAATGTGAAGGAGAATGAGAAGACTGAGAATAGGGAGGATTGAGAAAAGGACAAAAACTGAACAGTGTTCAAGAAACTAGAAGATGGTGATTGGCGTTGCATTTAAATTTCTGAAGACCGTAGTTATCAGGGAAGCAAAAAATCGGAAAGGAGTTCCACAGGTGGGAAGTGCAAGAAAAAAAAACTGTTACAGTAGAAGTAGCGGTTGCATCTTGGCAGTCCAACAGTAAAACGGTGAGACCTAATTGCCAATCTAGTAGCACGCTTAATTTCATGCAACCGGGGCACTAAGGAAAAAAATACATCAAAATAGTTGGCATGAAAATATTTATAGAAAAGACACAAAGAAGCCACGTCACATCGGCTGGAAAGTGATAGAAGTCGAGATGCCAGGTGAGAATCGATTACATTACCAACCCTTAGTTTTATCAAGAATCACGAGATATAGACTAGGATCACGAGACTAGACATGACGGTAATATTCAATGCGTGGACGACTGGCAGATTTATAAATGTGCAGGATGAATTCTTACGTGGAGAAATTAAACTAAATTTCATAAAAAAATATTAAAATAGAACTTACAGTTACATTTATCTATTTCAACAGTAAAAAGGTGAGGCCTAATTACCACTCTAGCTGTACGCTTAAATTCACGCAGTCGAGGTACCAAGGAGGAACGTTCTTCAGAAGATTTTCCATGAAAATACGTTGCAGATTCTTACCAAGATACATTGCAGTGCTTCTCAAAATGGTGGTCCGCGGACCGGTGCCGGTACGCAGACCATCAGCTTCCGGTACGTGGCCAGTGTCCAGACCATGCTAAAGAATCATTTGCAAAGATTAAGGTTATCTAATTTCTGTTAACAAACTGCTTATTTTTTTATTACTTTTCATATTTTTTTATATTGAATTATTTTTTTTGCAAAATAAACGGAAGATAAAAAATACACAACTTTTAATATATTCATTATATATATATCGTTTCCAGTAGCAATTAATATTACCACGAAAAAACGTGACACCTTCAGAAAAAAAAATGCCGGTCCGCTATATCAGATAGTTTGAGAAGCACTGTAATGATTACAGAAACACTAGACCAGATATGGAAGCCCTTACAGTTAAAAATATGTTTCGACTTTAAAGGCGTTAATAAACCCTGACGAAACAATCAATAAATGAATCAACTATCTCCTACCATATTACTAGGTGAAGTAAAGTTAAGTTATTGTTATGAGAAAATGTACCAAAAGGCAAAAACATAAAATACACTTGAAGTTAAGAAAAGGAAATGGATATGTGAAATATGTATTAAAACGTAAATGAATTAATATTCAGAATCTGTCTATATTTCTGAAATGAGGTATTATGTACATTATTTACATTATTCGGACTATTGTCCTCATCTTTGTCGCCATATTTATTACAACGTTTCGGCCTTTCAGTATCTGTCTATATTTCTGATATGAGGTATTATGTACATTATTTACATTATTCGGACTATTGTCCTCATCTTTGTTGCCATATTCATTACAACGTTTCGGCCGTTGTACGCTCAGGTACTGGACCCTTTATTTTGCTCACTGGGGTAAACTGTTCTGCCATGTTTGATGGATGTCAGTTATCTCCTGTTAATTTCCCTCTGAAAGATCTCCACTGCCTTAACCGGGTATTGAACTCACACCCGTCACTGGATCTAACCAACGCCTTTATCCACTGTGCCATGTGTCATTTACGTTTTATCCAAGTTTGCAATAGCCGTCAAATAGGGGCGGATATTGTTCATTCATAATGTTCGTGGGTGTGTGTGTACGTGTGGGTCTGTGAGAGAGTGAGGAGGAAGGAGTCATTATTTTAATTAAGTTAGACTATAAAAAATGTTGGTTATCCCACTTGGCTTTACCTAAAGTACCCGGCAGGTAGCGTTATTTAAGTCTATAAAAAGGTAAGCATGTTCTTTCTCTTTTTTCCTCTTGCTACCAGATATAGTCGAACGTCGATAAAGAACGCTGTCGACAGGGCGTGTTCGAATCCTTGGTCTGCTGTTGATTGAAGCGGGAAAGCAAGAAGTGGCAAGGTATTTACTGTAGAGTGTCAAGGGAACAGGAGTCAGTTCAGGAGCACATTTCTTGAGTACTATTGCAGAGATACCATCAAGTCCACATGCTTTGTGAGAATCTAGCAAAAACCATAGACAGAGTTATAGGCCAATCATTCAATAGAGACTCACTTCTAAGTGGAAAGTCAGGCAAAGGAAGTCCAGATGTTTCAAGAGAAGAATTTCAAGATAATTTACGAGCAAAACATTTTGCTTTATCAGCAAAAAATGTTAACGCCTCAAATTGAGTGAAGAGATAGAAGTTTTACTCTTATTTAGCACACTATTAAAGAGACGCTGAACCAAACTTGTTAGAGGCTATGCGATGCCCTATTCTATCAGCAAACAAAGACTATGCCCCTTTGAGGAAATGTTTACAATTATTTCGAGCAGTCACACATAGGCGTCTGCTGTGATCGGAATTATCACACAGGTACACCCGGAAGAAATAATTCCTATGGCTGTAGCGGCTGAACAGGTTGATGTGAAGCAAGGATAAGATTGCAGTTTTACCTGATATATGCGAGAAGGTAAAAAAGCATCAATGTCGGATTTAACCCAAGGAGAAAGCTCTGTGACACAATTCTCAATAGGAACGTTAAGAATATCAGTCCAAGAGGCGTCTCGAATATGCGTTAAAGTTAATAGGTTGGCTTAATCCATCACAAGACAACAGAAAATTCAGAATTGGAATTAACCGAGTTTGTTTCATGGCGCGGTAGTTCTGAAAATTCGTAGAGAATGTTTTAAAATTCCAAATATGGAAAAATAATTTTCGTTTTATTTTCAATATGATCAATATGACTCCTCTTAAACTGTTTTTTCTCATAATCCAAACAATGAAAAAAAAAGAAGCTTACTGAGAGCTTTGTATACGTCTTACCTCAATTTTATACTTTGTATACAATTGTATACTTTGATTACGTTTTGCCTCAATTTAATACTTTGTATACAATTGTAAACTTTGTATATAATTGTATACTTTGTATACAATTGTATACTTTGTATAAAATTGTATACTTTGTATACAATTGTATACTTTGATTACGTTTTGCCTCAATTTAATACTTTGTATACAATTGTATACTTTGCATATGTTTTACCTCAATTGTATATTTTGTATACAATTGAATAAGATTATACAATTGTACATTTTGTATTTGGCTTTACCTCAATTGTATACTTTGTATACAATTGTATACGTTTTACCTCAATTATTACAGACGTTACAATCACTTGACTGTAATTCGTAAAAATTTTATGAATAAAACCAGAAACTCCTTGTAGTTATTTGACTGAGCGATTCAGAAAGCTCGATTGATCCGTTTTTTATGGCTTATCAACCTTTTGTGGGTTATTTAAAACTAGAAAATATTTTAGATTGTAAGGATTTTTTTGAGATAATAATGATTTAGTGATACAAGTCTTATTAATTAACCGATAGCTAGAGGAGAGGAGGTGGATCCATAGCTTTCACAAGTGAATATAACTGAAGCTGGGATTCGACTCTCCGAGTAATAATTACGTACCATTATGCATTACCCCACTCTCATATATAAGCTTACAGCACCGAGTATTCCTAAGCGGTTCCCTATCTAGGTACTGACCAGGTTCGACGTTGCTTAACTTCGGTGAACGTACGGAAACATGTGTTGCAACGATTCAGAAAGCTACTTGACTACTAAGGAAAATTTAACTTGTCACTTGAAGCCATCCCCAGAATAATTAGCTTGGGATAAACTTGACAGAAGACTGAAAAAAATAAAAATAAAAAAAGTGGCGGAACAAGAATTAACAAAATGACAAAATTTATTAAAAGATACAAAGGATAGATAAATAATAGAAGAAATTCGCTATTCTGAACAAATAAAAAAGTAGTAAATAAATCAAATAACGTTGTCTGGAAACGCTTTTCCTACAAATTTGAAAATATGTCCTTGTCTATTAAAATGTAAGGTTAGAGTTAATAAATAAGAAAATAATAAAAGAATGAAATTATAGAAAAATGTTGTTAAAATATATTTTAATGATAATTGAAAGGGAAAGATATCGACGATACTGAAACAATATAGTCAATATAGTCAATAGTCAATTATGGGAAAGGCTTTGGGGGCGTACCCTGAGGATAAATCCGGAGCTGGAGTCTCTAAAGCAGTCCGAAGTTATGTTCCACTTTGTTCTGGCAACTCATTGGACTAGTGCCAAGCTGCATTGACCTCTACTTTCCGTTGGACAATATCGATGGAATGGAGAGGAGAGACATGCTGCATGGGAAACCGCCGATCTCTCATCAAACCTTACCCAAGCCTGCATCCTGGAAAGAAATTTAACTCTTTGGGCACAGATCCAAGGTTTCTTGAAACCGACGGATTCTACATATACAAACGATAAAAAAGAGCACCTCGAGGCGGTGTAATGGTTAACAAACTTGTCTCGCTTAAACAATTACCACTGAGTAGTGAATTCAATCCTCACAGGGTGCCCCATATTTTTGGCCTTGTGTCACATCCGAGCTAGGATTGGAAAATCACTGGGCACCTCGGGGCGGTGTAATGGTTAGCAAGCTTGTCTCGCTAGAACAATTACGACTGAGTAGTGAGTTCGATCCTCACTGGGTGCCCCTTACATTCGGCCTTGTGCCACATCAAAGCTACGCTTGGAAAATCACTATAATAACGATAGAAATTGACACTGTACTTAGAAGAAGAGGATTGCTTTATTGTTTTCAATTATTACTCAAACAACAACTCACCTTTGGTTGGTCAACAAGATTCTGTAGCGTCTTTATACTTCTGTCTTTGTTCTGCCATGTTAGGTAAGCGGCTAGATTGGCTGTGTAAGCAGCGGTCAAGATTAAAATATTGAACCAGTAGAATGCTATAATGGTACGTGTGGATGTTGTTTGGGGCGAGTACTCTGTGCCACCGCCAAGCAGTACATTCAAAGCATACCAAAGACTCTCTTTGAAATCAAATTTATATTCCGAGCCGTCCTGTGTTTGATCAAATCGTGTCATGAGGTACATGGCAAGCGCGACCACTAACATACAGAGGACAATGGAGAACCAGAGTTTCATTGAAAACGGCCACAAGAACTGGAAGTAGTTAGGTACTGGCTTCGCCTTTAAGATGAGTAGGCTTGTCTTGGAGGTGAGGATACTGTATGAAGAGGAGATGATGCGTTCGTTTTCGGAAGACATCGGGACGGCACCTATCGCCATAGAAGCATTCTGGATAAAGAAATACAAGAAAGATATCAAAGATACGTCTCGAAGAAATTATAGGAACAGAAATCTATGTGTGTATATTAGTAGGCTCTGTCATAGTATCCGAAACAAAGTGAAGATAATGAAACCCCAAAAGCCCCTACACACACACACACACACACAGATATATATATATATATATATATATATATATATATATATAAACATAAAACATTAGGCAGCATATGATTTACATACAAAGAATAATCACACATAGAATTAATTAGAAGTATTAATGCGATTATTGGCGACATCCATCGCTAGAAAACATAATATATGCATTAAAATAAGATTATTTAGGATTACCTAAGTTTGCATAAACTAAATATATATATATATATATATATATATATATATATATATATATATATATATATATATAGTTTATGCAAACTTAGGTAATCCGTATTGGTAGACCCGAGGAGGATGATATCCAGAGTGCTCAATGTAAAATTCAGAGCAGATATGTTTGAATAAAAGACAGACCACGTTAAGATTCCATGTAATAAGCTATTTCACCATAACCCCTTTAACAGGGTTCTGGATCATCAGACTTTACTTCCAAAAGCTGAAATGAAAAATGAAAAGAAATTCAGACGTTTTTGACGGGCCTCATCAAGTATACGTAAAATTAACGAAGTGAGGAAGTGAGGTGGGAGAGAGGATATGGGTGTGTCATATGTGTCATTGTAATTGTAACTTCTTCCGTTAATGTCGTTCTTATCATTCAACCCTTAGCCATCTATATCTAAAGACGAGACGCGTTAAATTTGAGCAACATCTAGTCGACCCACTGGGGTTAAAAATAGGAAATTGAAATGACACAGTCATATCCTCTCTCCCACCTCACTTTCTCTCACTTCGTTAATTTTACGTATACTTGATGAGGTCCGTCAAAAACGTGTGAATTTCTTTTCATTTTTCATTTCAGCTTTTGGAAGTAAAAGTCTGATGATCCAGAACCCGTTAAAGGGGTTATGGTGAAATAAACTTATTACATGGAATCTTAACGTGGTCTGTTTTTATTCAAACAATATATATATATATATATATATATATATATATATATATATATATATATATATATATGAGAGAGAGAGAGAGAGAGAGAGATAAATGATAGAAAGAACAGATGAAGTAAAATTCCGCTGTTCGTAGCATTTACTTTTTGGAAATTTTTAAAAAATTATTTAACCACCAGTCATTTACCATCACCTGAAGAGGCACAACGTATTGCCGAAACACGAAAGTTATTGTGCAGCAAGAACATCACATATCTGATTCGGCAGCGGCGCGTAGAAGTAGTCAACTGCCAGAAGTGAGTCAAGTGAATACCTCAATGAATCTTCAACTGCAAACCAACATACAGTATTTACTACTGTATTTATGTGAACGGGGACATGCCGATTATCGTCCGTAGGTATGCTACAACAGAAATATAACGTCAATCACCATCTTCTATCTTCGTGAACCCTGTCCGCCTTTTGTCCTTTCCTCAATCCTAGCTATACTTAATCACATAAATATGTATATGCACAAAAGGTGAGCATTATCTGCCATGCATTAAACTGTGAAAGCAGAATAACATGTCATTGTGGCAGACGTGATGAGACAGAACCTGGGACGAGCACAACTGGTTCCGACTTGCCTTGTCCCCGCCAAAAAAGAGCCCGTATTTGCTTAGCATGTAAAGCTACTGCAGTTGAAATGAGGGAGAAAAAAGCACTTACTGCTCTGCCGTAATCCGTCCTCGGCCAGATAACGTAAAAGAATGAGGGGGGACTTCCATTGCATTTTTACGCAATAAAGATGCAATGCATTATGGAACAGGGACGCAATGAATTATGGGATCGCATGAAGACGCAAGGGATTATGGGTATATGGACAAATATAAAAGCAACTAATTTTCCCCAGTGCGGGGTGCTTGGAATGACGTTCACGGTTGGCGGCTAGAAAAGCCTGTTAGTGCAATTTTGAGACAGAACTCAAGAAGGAACGACTCGAGGTTGGAATAACAGTTGGGAGAGCTTGAATTTACTCGCTGGTTGCTGTTTTCTTTTTATTCGCCACAGTCATATTTTCATTACTTCCAAACTCCAAAGAAAATTAAATTTCGACATTAAGTGACCAATAAGGAGTTGATATGTCATTAAACAAACAAATCAAATTAATCGACATCTTCAGAAATAGAAAAAAAATAGAATATTTGAGGTCGCTAAAGATGAGAATTTAAGCAATATTGCCTGCAATGAAAATGATACGTTGATTATACTGGGTCTAAGGGAGAAAGGAAACCCGAACAAAGGATAAACAAAAGATACTAAAACGAAAAGGAACATAAACTCAAAATAAAAACAGAAGAATAATATGAAAATGAAGAAGTATATATATATATATATATAAAACCTAAAAAGAAAAACCCGGTAAAATCTGGATCATTGCAAGAATGGTGCAAGACGGAAGTGAAAGAAGCTTTTCAAAGCATTTGCTCACCCCTTCGGTCAAATGAGAAATCAAAGGTGACCTTGTCCCTGACTCTATTCCTCTTTCCACTGTGTCAATTTTGTATGTAAAATTAAGCAGCTTGGAGATACGGTCCAATAATTCATAGCTAAAGCCTGTAAGATTTCCATTTTCTTTTTTCTCGATGAAGGGGGGATTCTGAAAGAAATGATAATTGTAAGATTATTGTTTATATTCTCTTTGTATTACAGTTTAATATAGGTACCTCTACTAATTCGGTATACGTAAGGTTTAAAATGAATTTTTAAAAATAAAAAAAAATGTCTTGAAATTTTTATTTTAGCTGTAATTGAAAGCTAAAGGATTTAAAAATTACTATTTCCAATAAGCAAAATACTCTGTGGTGAATTTCAAACAGAATCGATTTTCGATTTTTTCCCAGTAAAATCGATGAAATTCGCCGATTTTGACACATTTGTATGCAAAAGTTAATTCTCGGTTTTAAAAATCATGCAAAAATAAAATATATTTGAGGAAAATTGACAAATTTAAAGTTACATTAATCTGGTTTAAAATAAATGTTACTTATTGTTGTAGAGTAGTTTCACAGTCGAGGCTTGTATTTCACTAAGTCGGTCCTAAAATAGGTTCGACGTACAAAACGTTAGGAACTTGATATAATAGGTAATGACGCAGAGAAATCTAGTAGTGGTCGCTGATACTTTAGTATCCGACTAACGGTCGTCCGACATCGACTGACTGACCAACTCACCGAGCGACTTAGCGGCTGCTACTACTCCTACTTATTATAGGTGGGAGAGTCTATTAACAATAGAATAGGTGTGTTGCACTATAACACTTATAGCATAAAATGTTGTATACAAGCATTTCTTAACCATGGGGTTATGTTTTTCTGACGTCTTAATCGATTTATTGACAGTCGATTGACCGTCGAACGTGTTCATAATTAAGTATGGTGAAGCAAAAGATAAATTTCATATGAGGGTTTTTGAAAGACAAGTGTGAGCGCCACGCGTTGGAAAGTGAAAAGAGAGTTCCCGTTGTCTGTGCACCAGGGAAATTAACATTCCCCAGTGGGAACGTAATTACCTCTTGGAGCAAAAAGGGGAAAGAGAATGAGGCAGGAAAACGTTTTTCTTTTTATAGACTTAACCTTCGCTGTCTAACGACGTCTGACGAAATCAAGTGGGGTTTTATTTCCCGCTCTTTTACTATTAGCATCATGGGATATGTATTTTCTTTTCTTTTTATTATTCATTATAATTAGTTTTACCGATTTTATTTCATTTTCCCACAATGTATATATTTTGTCTCTATCTCTCTCTCTCTATCTCGATTTCTTTCTCCCTCTCTTTCTCTCTCTCTCTTTCTCTCTCTTTCTCTCTCTCTCTTTCTCTCTCTCTCTCTCTTCCTTCTTCTACTTGAATTAAAGTCGATCCCCGTTGTGTTGGCTCCCTTGTCAACTCGAGTCTGTCCTGTTGTTCCATGACCAAACGTTATAATATTTACCTCAAAAGATAAATTATTTAATATAAATAAAAGTTTTGAAGACTATTTTCCTGATTTCCGGGTAAAATTTGAAAATCCGAAGTCTTAGTACTTCCGCTTTTCATAAAACATCAAAATTACTGTTTTCGCTTTTGTTTTTAGATAAGGTTGCTTCTATACGTGTTTTATATATATATATATATATATATATTATTTACATTATTCGGACTACTGTCCTCATCTTTGTCGCCATATTTATCACAACGTTTCGGCCGTTGTACGCTCCGGCCTTCTTCAGGTGGTTGGAATTTCGAACTGAACCCTTTATTTCGCTCACTGGGGGAGACTGTTCTAGTTCCACGTGCAAGGACACATGGCTCAGTGGATAAAGGCGTTGGTTAGATCCAGTGACAGGACCCAAAGAGTGTGAGTTCAATACCTGGAGAACTTGGAGAGGGAAATTAGCAGGAGGTAACTGATAACTGACATCCATCAAACATGGCACGTGGAACTAGAACAGAATTTAGAACTCTTAAAAAAGGATTCGTAACTGGAAAAACCGAATGAAAAATAATCTTAACAACAAATACTTTTTCACACCCAATCCAGTTCTGCGGAATCAGAATCAACGTTGAGTTTAAGCAATTTAAGCATTTTAAATTTTTCCCACTTGTGACGAATGCAGCTATCGATGTTTTTTGCATGCTAGCATGCTAGTTAACATTCGTGTCAGTCAGCTGTTGGCTCTCACGCTGGCCAATAGAATCTTCCTGCCTATTCGTGGCAGCCAGCTATTGGCTCTCACTCTGGCCAGTAGAAAATGGCCGCAAACTACATGAAAAAAGCCGTAGAAGCATGAAAAAATCGATTATCTCCACTATCGATGGGAGGTGGGAATGCAAAGTCGGTCTTGGCCTTCCCGCTAACTTGGAGCATGTGTATGTAAATTTTGGAGCAAATCCGTCGAAAATTACAGCCGTACATTCGTTACACACACACACACACACACACACACACACACACATCATGCCTTTTACATATATATATATATATATATATATATATATATATGTATTTGTGTGTGAGGGGGAGGTATGAATTATGTCCAAACATTTCCATTATTGAAAACATTATTAATATTATTAAAACTGAAATCATATGAAGTATAGTCAATTCTTATTCATTTTTCACTAGTATTTCTTTCATCTTCATTTCTCTTGCTTTTTATTGCAACTCCCATCCATAAGAAGTAGAAGTAGAGAATATAGCTATATGGCTAAATTTGAATGACTCCTGCTGGTTAGCCTTCTTAGATGAAACATTGTCAATTATTATTCATTTTTCACTAGTATTTCTTTCATCTTCATTTCTCTTGCTTTTTATTGCAACTCCCATCCATAAGAAGTAGAAGTAGAGAATATAGCTATATGGCTAAATTTGAATGACTCCTGCTGTTTAGCCTTCTTAGATGAAGCATTGTCAATTATTATTCATTTTTTACCAGTATTTGTTTCAATTTCATTAAATCTTAATTTCGACTTGTATTGAAATGAAAGAAATTTAAGTAAAAAAAATTACGCTTATTTCTTTTTTTCTTAAAGTTTTATCTGTCCTATTTTCACCGCCCCCTACACTTGAAAAAAAATCTGTTTCTTACCACTTCCGTTACGATGCGTAGCGTTTCATTCTGGCCAAAAGGTGATTTCGAATCCCAATTTGGTATATCTAAATTTACCACGGTGTCTTTTTCTCCAATATAGATGCTTCCCACCTGAAAGAACAGAGGAGAACCGTTTATAAAATTGAATCAATGCTTAATTAAAAAAATTGTCAGTCCAGTCCTGTTATTTTTATGAGTAGTATTGATTGATTGGTTTGTTTGTTTAACGGCATATCAACTCCTTATGGGTCATTTAATGCTAAAATTTAATTTTCTTGGGTGCTTTGACGTAATAAAAATATATGTTATTCTGCATTCACAGTTGAATACATGGTAGATAATACTTAGCTTTTGTGATTACACGGGTTTGTGTGGGCACAATTACGAGAGGCGTTGATGTATTTTATATTTTATTTTTGCGTTGTTTTGAATAAGAGCGTTTATTCCAAGCCTTCGCATGTTGAGCCCGGTTGAAATTCAACGAGCGTCTTTCTATTTAAAAAAAAAACAACTTTTAACACTCTATTTCAGCTGTTAAATAAGTTGAGGTTCATAGTAGGTTAATATACAGGGCCTCTCTAATAACGAGATGTTTCAGGTAATATGATTTATATACAACTTTAGTGCTTTTGACTAGAATTTTGCTTAAGGGAAAATTGTGGGGTTTTTTTTGTAGCACTTTGATCTGATAATTGATACGTGAGGCGTCTACTCAAAGAGGTGATAGCATGTCCAATATGAGCAATATATATATATTATAATTATTTTAAAAAATATGATTCCATCGCTACATAAGAGTTCTCATGTTTCAAAAACAGAAGCTAAAAAAACAGATCTGTTTCATCCTCAAGCGAATTTTGAAATAACTAATCTTGAAATTTACGGAAATTTATAAGCATATTCATTCGTAATATTAATCACATGGAAACGGTGAAACCAATTGTTGTAATAAGGATCGAAAGGGTAAACATATTGTATCATGAACATATTGTATATATATATATATATATATATATATATATATATATATATATATATATGTGGTATAAAATGACAATTGGAAAAAAATCTTAGTTTTTTGCCGGCGCGTTTCGTCTTCCGACATTTTCAAGGTAAAAAATGAAATGAAATGTCTTTGTTGTTATAGTTACATTAAAAATTTAAAAAGATAGACGCTATACATATATTATATATATATTTAAAAATTTCTTAGTATAAAAAAATTTACATTAACTAGAAAAAGGCATAGACAAAAGCTTCTATCTTTTTAAATTTAGATTTTTTAATGTAACTATAACAACAAAGACATTTCGATTTCATTTTTGCCTTGAAAAAGTCGGAAGACGAAACGCGTCGACAAAATCTCAGATTTTTTCCAATTGTCATTTTTATTTATATATATATATATATATATATATATATATATATATATATATAGATTAAATTCCCAGATCAATTGTGTGGACAAGACAGATTGGTATAAAATGACAATTGGAAAAAATCGTCTATCTTTTTAAATTTGGATTTTTTTAATGTAACTATAACAACAAAAACATTTCAATTTCATTTTGCCTTGAAAAGTCGGAAGACGAAACGCGTCGACAAAATCTCAGATTTGTTTTCCAACTGTCATTTTATATCAATCTGTCTTGTTCACAGAATTGATCTGGGAATTTTACTATATATATATATATATATATATATATATATATATATATGAAATATATATATAAGTTTTATGAAAACTTAATAAATAACAACTTACCACTCTTTTGGGGGTTTTTATTGTGATGCTGAAGTTCGTGCGGTTAGAATTCTGAAGATAGTAATGACCCAGGATTCCCTCGTAAGGTGTTTTCTGAAATGTAAATAATGAAGCAATAAAATGACCACAGTTATTAGAATTCTATCATTTAGACGTAAATTTATATTACTGATATATTTAAATTATATTATTGCTATGTAAAATAGCCTTATATTAGGATTATATTCCTCGGCACCCGCTCGTATCCAAACATTGGGGTCTTCCTCCTCTCTTCCTAATTTTTTCCTTCCCTGCTGGTAGGGGAGATGGTTCTAAACTCCCAGCCTGCTCCTGAAGAGTCCTGAGCCGGTGTAAAAGAGGAAATGTTGGTGGTGGTTGCGCTGGACGAGTCAGACCCTCCTCACAGCACGTCGTAGATCCTCTGCATGTCGACGGTTGCACTCGAAAGAGTCGGTCCCCCACCCTGAATGGCTCTACGTTAGGAAGGCTGATTCTCAGCAATGGTTTCCCAAGGGTTGATGTTGGCTTGTGTCAGGGATATCTTCAACTGGTCCGTGAAGCATCGTTCTGGGCTTCCGTGTAGCCTCTTGCCGATGGCGAGCTTTCCAAAGATGATGATACAAAGGAGTCGAGTGGAATGCCTTCTGAACACGAGCTTCTCAGTGAATCTGATGTTGACAGATAATAGACAACGCTACTTGGTTTCAGTGATAAAATGAATGAATGAAGGAAGAGGAGATAGAAGTGTTTAACGTCTGTTGCAGTGAAATGGAAAAAGTTGTCAGTTTTAATTTTTTTTCCATCTGTACTTTGTTTTTTTATTTCTACCAAATTTTTTCATTTGTACCTTGTTTTTCATTTGTAGCAATTTTTTCATTTATACCTTGTTTTTCATTTGTGCTAATTTTTTTCATTTGTACCATTTTTTTTCATTTGTACCTTATTTTTCATTTGTACAATTTTTTTCATTTGTACCTTGTTTTTCATTTATTCCAATTTTTATTCATTTGTACCTTGTTTTTCATTTGTACCATTTTTTATTTGTACCTTGTTTTTCATTTGTACCAAATTTTTCATTTGTAACAATTTTTTTTCATTTGTACCTTGTTTTCATTTGTATCAAATTTTTTCATTTGTACCATGTTTTTCATTTGTACCAATTTTTTCATTTGTACCTTGTTTTTCATTTGTACCCAATTTTTTTTATTTGTACCTTGTTTTTCATTTGTACCAAATTTTTTAATTTGTACCTTGTTTTTCATTTGTACCAATTTTTTTCATTTGTACCTTGTTTTTCATTGGTGCTAAATTTTTTCATTTGTACAAATTTTTTCATTTGTACCTTGTTTTTCATTTATTCCAAATTTTTTCATTTCTACCTTATTTTTCATTTGTATCATTTTTTATTTGTACCTTGTTTTTCATTTGTACCAAATTTTTTCATTTGTACCTTGTTTTTCATTTGTACAAAATTTTTTCATTTGTACAAAATTTTTTCATTTGTACCTTGTTTTGCATTAGTAACAATTTTTTTCATTTGTACCTTGTTTTTCATTTGTACCAAATTTTTTCCTTTGTACCTTGTTTTGCATTAGTACCAAATTTTTTCATTTGTACCTTGTTTTTCATTTATACCAAATTTTTTCATTTGTACCTTATTTTTCATTTGTACCTTGTTTTTCATTTGTTCCAAATTTTTCATTTGTACTTCGTTACTACTTCAATATATAAATACTTACCAGCTTTCATATTTATGATTGTTATTGCAATATTTTATTCAAGTTGTTAAGCTCAAATATTTAACAATGTGATTAGGAAATTTCTACGGATATTTTATTGTCATAGAACTCCCCATGAGCTTATTCAATCATTAACTTAAGAAATAAGATTCATCAGAAATTTAAAATAGGAAAACCTTGAAATTATCACGGGTTCTTCTAGTATTACTTAAAATATAATGACCATATATTGATATAATTATATTATTGAGAACCAGTATGATCATGTTTGAAATCTATTAGCGTCATATAGCACATAAATGAATGGAACTCTTACCAAATTGTGCAACATCTAGGAACCTTTCCAGTGCTTTCTGAAATTTCCCATTTATGGCAAGTCGTGCCAACACCTGAAAAACTTTCGGATTTTGGAATTTAGGATAAAGGATACTCGACCTGAACTATTATTATTATTATTTCATTACTATTTTTATTCCAACGTATTACTGGTGATTTTAATCACATGCTTGATTGATAGACACCATCATTATCCTTATTATTTTATTATTAGTTTTAGATAGATATTAAAAGACTGAGATAGATAGATAGATAGATAGATAAATAGATAGATAGATAGATAGATAGATAGATAGATAGATAGATAGATAGATATGGAAAAGACTGAGATAGATAGATAGATAGATAGATAGATAGATAGATAGATAGATAGATAGATATTAAAAGGATTGATGATAGATAGATAGATAGATAGATAGATAGATAGATAGATAGATAGATAGATAGATATTAAAAGATTGAGATAGATAGATAGATAGATAGATAGATAGATAGATAGATAGATAGATAGATAGATATTAAAAGATTGATAGATAGATAGATAGATAGATAGATAGATAGATAGATAGATATTAAAAGATTGAGATAGATAGATAGATAGATAGATAGATAGATAGATATTAAAAGACTGACTGATAGATAGATAGATAGATAGATAGATAGATAGATAGATAGATAGATAGATAGATAGATATTAAAAGACTGAGATAGATAGTGTCGTATAAGACATAAATGAATGGAATCTTACATTTATGTAAATAAGCAGAGTTAGCATTAGGTCAAATGCTAAGTGTACCTTCATATAGTAAATCTTCTATTTCATTATTTACCTACGAGTTTATCTTCCTTATTTCTTTCACTATGTTATCTCGGAAACACGAGATACAAAAATTATCGAGAGAGGAGAATAAGTATATATCAGAATTATATTACTGAAAAGTAAATTATTGAGACTATAATATTACAAGTAGAATGACCTTATATTAATGATGTTCAGTGAAATTAAATTGCTAACCATTGCTTTATGACCAGGCTCCTAATCTATTTAATATGTACATAGTGTTACCAAACGTCCCTTATACTAGACATGTCCCGTATTGGATAATTTTGTCCCCTGTCTTGTACTGGACCCAAATGTCCTGTATTTAGTTCATTTTCAAATTTCGTAATAAAAAATATATTTTTACTACATTCTTACAATTCTTGGTTGTAACTTTATATTTTATTTTATTTTCTCAGATTCTCTTGATGAAAATATCCCCTCCCCCCAAAAAAAATGTAACCAGGAAACTAGTGTTGCCAGAAGTTTACAAAAAATGACGTGTTTATTTCTCTGTTGGGTGTATTAAATACTTTCAAATGTTTTCACTTTTACAGAATTTCTTTTACGGAGGTTGTATTAAATAATTTTCCAATGTTTTTACTTTTATTTTCTTTATAATGCATTAAAATCATTGCTTTATATTTTTTAATTTATATCTCTCCTTTTATATATATATATATATATATATATATATATATATATATATATATATATATATATGTAAGCAAATATATGGATATAAATCCGACAGTATGAAAAAATATATACGGAAAAACAAACAAAAATCTTATATACAATTATGCTGTTTTAATGTTAATATGTCAATATGTTAATATTAGACCGAAACGTCCGACGTTGACATATTAACATTAAAATAGCATAATTGTGGATTTTTTGTTTATTTTTTATATATTTTTCGTCATATATATATATATATATATATATTAGGTTGGTGCAAAAATAATGACGTAATAATGTCGTTTTTGACGTATTTTTAACGTCAAAAACGACATTCTTACGTCATTATTTTTGCACCAACCTAATATATATATATATATATATATATATATATATATATATATATATATATATATTACATCAGGGGTGGCCAACATTTTGGTTCCATGCGCCAATACTTTGTACGATTAATTTAAATGCGCCACACAAACATTCACTTCCTTTCAGTACGTGTTGTAATATGAACATATTTTAAAGTGATAATAAAATCTATTTATTTGAAAAATATATGCTTATGACCAGGGACGTATCCAGGAATTTTGAAGGGGGGGGCATTAATCAATGCTTTGACATTTTTTTTAGCTTTTGGCTTAGTTTCTTTTCATCAAAAGGATGCAATGCGCCACTTGTAAGCATCCAATGCGCCACTTATGGCGCATGCGCCACAGGTTGGCCATCCTTGTATTACATGACTCATTCATACAAAAAAACAGATTAGTGAAGTTTATGATATAAATCGTGAGAATACATCTTCGCAAACAAATTTATTAAAATTACATTAACCCGCGAACCTCTAGTTGAATGTTATGATCCCTGTTTTTAATAAATTAAATTTGTATAAGGTCTTTTTTTGCTAGTACTTTCATCGGTTCATACAGACATCAGGCATGGAAATTGATTTTGTTTTTTTAGGGGGGGTTATAATACCTCCAGGTAATAACGGGACACGAAAGATTAGATGCGAGTCAAAATATGTTTTTTTATAGAAGTGTGTTTTCACAATTAGATGGGCATGAGTATGAAATTCTGATTAACCAACTCTGATGGTAATCTTTAAGAATAGCTTGCTCGACGTTGCTCCTAGGCAAGTTTTCTCATTATTTACATAAGTTAGGTTCGTCTTGCACAGATATTAAAAAGGTATAGCCTTTATTAAAGATCAAACAAACAATACTAACGAATTGGTCTTGAAGAATACCTTGCTTATCACCGCTTTAAAGTAGGTGAGAGAACCAAAATTCTTTCATCCGTGTTAAATATCGACCCCCCCCCCACACACACACACGCGCGCGCGCACGCGCACAAGCTATAAAAGAGATTCAAGTATTAAGACGTTGATATGTGCTTAAGAAAGTTTGGAAAACATGGACCTTCGTGCCCTTAAAAAAAGAAGAAAAAAAACGGTGTCTCAAAAGAACTGTTTTTCTCATGACACAGCTTTTATTTTAACTATCTTTACTCCTCGGCAATGTTTATTGTTGAAAAAGTGGTGATTAGAACTGGAATAAAACCTAAACATATGATGAAATTGAAATTATACATTTTGTTTGTTCTTGAGAATTTGCAACAAAAATATTAAACGGTATTTGTTTATCAGATTATTTATTTATTTATTTAATATCTGGTCTCGGTCTTACTCTAAGATTTTGGCTATTTACTTCTTTCTTTCATTGTAAGATTTTATTATTTTCTAGACTAAACTGAGTGTTTACCGCCGTTTATTTCGACGACCTTTAAATTAATTGTCTTATACTAAAGGGTGTTCCAATAACTTGGACAGTTTTTAAAAGTGAATTAAGTTTAAGCGCATAATGAATTTTTTTTTTTTTCAGATTTAACAATTTTAATCTTTTGCAATTTCAACCATGGAAAGATTAACAATCAAACAACGTTTTAAATTTATCGAAGCCTATTAAGAAAATGGACGTTCAAACAGAAATGCATTTCGCGCACTTCGCTTTTTGTTTGGTCAACATAATCGACCAACAGAGTGTGCAATTGGAAACGATGTAACTTTGTTTTGAAGAGTTTCAATTCCTGTGCGCGATGACGAATAGAGGTGACGAGATTTTAGGCCACATTCTCGTGCACTGCAGCAATGTTTTCAGCTGAACGGCGTAAACAAGTACGCAATGGTGTTTTCACATCACCAGCGACCCAGATTTTTGAATTTACGAACAATTATTCCAATTGCACTCTTGAAACTTGTTTTTTGATTGTTAATCTTTCTATAGTTGAAACTGCCAAAAACTTAAATTGTTAAACCTGAAAGAAAAAGAAAAAAAAATCATTAGACGCCTAAACTTAATTCAAATTTAAAATCGGTCCAAGTTATTGGAACACCCATTACAATTTTAAAAAAAAGCATCTTAAATTTTGAGTGATGTTTGTTGATAGGCTAACTTCGGCCTCGGTCCGATAACCAATTTACGTACATGAAAAGATTCACATTATCAAATAAACTGATAATAAAAATAATAAAGCAATTTCTACCTTATATATTACTGGCATAACTTCATAACAAATTGCCTATTCGAAGAATAATTCAACATCAATGAATTAAACTTATATCCATGAAAACTTATCTGAGAAAATCTACACATGGAATTATGATATTGTTCATAGTAAAGGAATGTACTATTATCATACATTATCGTACATGTTATTAGTGGTATTTTGTGATTGTCGATGACGTATAAATAAATGGCCATTAGTACACCAGGCTGTTTGTAATATTTTAAATATAGGAAAAGAAGAGGAAGAAGAATCCGTATTCGCAAGAGATCACGTGATGAAACGTCAACAAAACAATGGTTTCCCTTTTAGGAAACATAAAATAGAATCGGCTTTGTATCTATGCAAATCAGCTGAGCAAAGTTTCAATAATCATATAGCTCGTATTCGAGGATACCCGTCTATAAGTGCGGCTAGCCAATCCCTATTGCAGACGCTTGCTCAAGCACATGACTGACAAGGCAGATTTTTCCCGCAGTAGGTTGCTATTTCTTTCTGCGGTCGATCAGCTGCCATCCAAGGCTATAGAACCCGGTCTGTTTTGCTAGTTACCCATAGCTGTGGGTTGAAGAAGAAGATTCATACCTTTAAAAAAGTAATCTTAAATTCTACGTGATATTTGTCGGTAGGCTAACCTCAGCTTCGGTGCAATAACCAATTTACGTACATGAAAAGATTCACATCATCAAATAAACTGATAATAAAAGTAATAAAGCCATTTCTACCTTCTATATTACTGGCATAGCTTCATAATGAATTGCCTATTTGAAGAATAATTCGATATCAATGAAATCAACTTGTATCCATGCAAGCTCAGCTGAGAAAATGTAAACATTGATCTATGCTAGCGTTCACAGCAACCTTTATCTTTCGTTAAACTTTCAATAATCATTATCGTAGTGTTAATTAAGGCAGTAATAACATTTAGGATAACTAGATAATTAGAAATTTCAACTGGTTTAGACAGAAGTTAGGAACAGACTGAATAAAAATTGTTGAAAGTGGAAAGTACTATAAAGTACATTATCGTACTGTTATTAGCGGCATTTTCTGACTGTCGATGAAGTATAAGTAAATGGCCATTAGTACACCAGGCTGTTTGTAACTGTTTAGATATAGGAAAAGAAGAGGAAGAAGAAAAAGAATCAGTATTCGCAAGTGATCACGTGATGAAATGTAAACAAAACAATGGTTTCCCTTTTAGGAGACGTGTGTAGGAAAAACATCGTATAGAATCGGTTTTGTTATTTCGTTTATTTTGAATTTCTAAGGATACAGTAAGTAACAACATTTCCAATAACATCATCTTTATATAATCAATAAGCAGTCGTCTTATACTCCAGGTGTAGGATAAATTCGAAAATTTGCTATATTTTTCAACCACGTCTTATATAAAGGTTACCTTATACGCAGAAATATACGGTATATATTTGTATTTACTCACCCCCCCCACGAGGTCAGGTTGTGACACAAGGTCGGTTTAATGTAGGAGCCCGAGCGGGTACACCCGGGCCATATATATATATATATATATATATATATATATATATATATATATATATATTAGAATATCGTTATATATATATTAGAAAATCGCTATACGGTATATATTTTTTTGCTTTTCTATGTGTTTCTATGCAAAGTATCCGATATTCTGCGTAATCCTAGTTATAACAATGCCAAGGAAATATAAAGTTGATTTTACTTACCATAGACTGGAAGAAAGTAACATTAGGTAGGTGTGTTGATTCACAAGTTTGTCCATTGTCGATGTTCATACGAAGAAGAATGCTAACCAAGTCGGTTAACATCCCTAACTCAATCATCGTTGTGTTATGGCAAGGGTCATTCAACAGACTTTTGATTTCTGTCATGCGAATATTTTAAAGGAAACAGACATAAAAATCAAATTGAATTCTATATGACATATTTTTTAAGACATAAATCAAACAGATAATAAAAAAAAATCAGTAGTTTTAAAAGAAAGACATTGATCACACACGTTTTAAAGAAAGAAATATACCAAAAATATTTTTTAAACTAAAAGAAGGTACACACTTAAAGCCAAAAATTTGGATCACCCTCTGAAATTTGAAGAATCCTCTGAAAATGTAAGTTTGTGTGCTTTTTTCAAACCTAATTTACTAGCTAACGTTGGAAAAGATGGCTTTTCTTTTCTTAAAGAGTTTTATATATTCAATAATAATAATAATAATAGTAATAATAATAATAATAGTAATAATAATAATAATAGTAATAATAATAATAATAATAATAATAACAACAAGTACAGCCCACACTTTACGAAGGGCTTTTATCTATGTAATTTTTTTTTTTTTTTGTCAGTGGAAAGTGTCATGATGCCATTTCTAACCTTAGGTCCCTAGGCGGGACCCGGAAAGAAATGTGTAAACGCCAGAAATCAAAGAAAATAAAAATGATAAAAATAATATTCAAACCCTACAATAATTATAAATATGTATTTATATATATTCCCGACCTATCTGTAGGCAAAAGGGAGGTAAATCAACTTAAGTTAGCAAATTTATGAGTGATTACTTCCCTTTGACGTTTTAATAGTCAATACAAATAAAATATTTATCTGCATTTAGACAAAAATGAATCTTTTTTTTTTTTTGAGGAAAATGAACAGTTTAGTTAATCAGTTCATTTCCTCTTAAGTTCCTTAGATTACAGTCTATATTTATTCAAGCCTTTCATGTAAGGCACTTTGTCTCTCAGTAGCTTAGTCTTTCTTTCACCGGTAGATTGGTTGCCAACCAAGGCTATAGAACATAGTCTATTCTGCTATTCAACGCATATCTGGGAGGAGAAGTGATAGATTCATATTTTTCCCAAGGGTATATGGGCTTAAGTGGAACTCGAACTCGGCTCTCCGATTTCTCATTCCGAGGTGATGTCCATTAAACCACAACGCCCATTCAAATATTAGTCTACCCGATTAGTCTACCCGATACGAAAACTTCGCGGAAAGTAACACGCATATATTTTTAGCAGTTTTTGAAGCGGAAAAAAGCGATTTTATATGTTATAAAATTATTATATATCGTATCTATGAACACTAATGGGTATGTCGCAATCCTGATAAATACATTGGACACTATTGTAACTAAGTATGCTAAGTAGTCCATCACTAGCAGTGGTTTACCTACTTCACGCTGCTGGCGAGTATTGTAGTTTGTTGATGTTATAAAGATTACCATTTCATTTCCAACCTCCATTTTGGTTATTCCTCATTCAGTAACTCTTTCTAGGTTACTACATAAATACATCAAAAGCTTTTAGAAGCTTAAATAAAAGTGTCATATATATTTTCTTCAATAGAGAAAAAAAAGTCCAAACTAGGGGACCGTTATTAAAATACCAAATAATTTCGATTGGTTATAGACGTCCAGACATACAAGCTAAGAGAACTGGTGAAAAAGTATCGGATCTGTTGCTATGGGAACGGAGCTTAAGTACACCTAGTGAATCTAATTAGCATAGGTTGACCTTGAGGGCTGTCGCGCATGCAGACTAAGTTATAACGTTACTGCTCGCTTTCGTTGTTTATAGCAGTGCTTGGAAGGAAAGTGTGTAGAGTGTGGTCGTCTCACAGCACCATAAAGTTTCCATCAATGACAATGCCTTGTGCAGAATTTTATGGTCAACAAGAAAATTCTCCAGGTTCGACAGCCAACATATTTCCAAGATCTCGCCCCTTGTGACATTTCCTCTTTCCAAAAATCAAATCCTACTAGAAAGGAAAAAGATTTCAAGTCGTCGAGGCAATCTAATAGAATGCGACTAGGCAATCGCTCGCTATCCCCAAAAAAAGTGTTCCAGGAGTGACTCCATCAATGGAAAGGATGCTGGATAAAGTGTGTGGCTTCGAAAGGAGACTGCTTCGAAGGAGATTTAATGCCGAATTGATATGTGTTGTAGTTTTCTTTTTATAGCAACAGTACAGATACTTTTTGATAAAACCATGTAGGTCTTAGAAATTGAAGTCTCAACCTTCTTTCTCGCGTTCTTAGACTTGGGAAGTGTCTTAATAAAGGGCGGAAAATGTCGCGTCAAAATCCGAAAATGTATTGGAATAGAGAAAGATTGCTCCCAAAAGCTAAGCAAACTATAAAGAAACATGAAAATAAATCATCTTTGTCGCCATATTTATTACAACGTTTCGGTCGTTGTACGCTCCGGCTTTCTTCAGGTATTTGGAATATCGAGATGAACCCTTTATTTCGCTCACTGGGGTAGACTGTTCTAGTTCCATGTACCATGCAAAATGGATATCAGTTATCTCCTGTTGATTACCCCTCTCAAAGTTCTCCACTGCCTTAACCGAGTATTGAACTTACACTCTTTTGGTCTTGTCACTGGATCTAACCAACGCCTTTATCCTCTGTGTCATGTGTCTTTGCGGACATCTGTGCATGAATTTCTGGGTATTATAAACCTAAAGTCTTCAGCAATCATTTTTTACCAGTGCTCATATTGCAATTTTTGCTGTTATCATTGCATGTTTTTACCAGAGCACATATTGCAATTTTGTTGTTATTATCGCTTTTCTCTGGCACTCCTTATTACCGGTTCCCATAAAAAGCGATAATAACAACAAAAATTAAACATGGTGAGCGAAATAAAGGGTTCAGTTCGACATTCCAACTACCTGAAGAAGACCGGAGTGTACAACGGCCAAAACGTTGTAATAGATATGACGACAAAGATAAGGACAATAGTCCGAATAATGTAAATAGTGTACATAATACCCCATATCAGAAACATGGACAGATATCGAAAAGCCGAAACGTTGTAATAAATATGGCGATAAAGATGAGGACAATAGTCCGAATAATGTAAATAGTGTACATAATACCTCAGAAATATAGACAGATACTGACAACTGGGCTGTTACGTGATATCGATGATCCTATATGACAAATAATGCTGAATAATCTCATCATCTACGGAAGGATGGTGAAAGTTTTAGAGAAATCGAAACAAAAAAAATGACACTCATAAGACACAGTTAAAATATATAAGACGAATAATGAGGAACAAGAGCATTGAAAATTTGACACTCACAGGACATATTGAAAGGAAGAGAGACAAAGAAAAAAAGCGCATAAATTGCCTAACAAGCATGAGTGAATGGTTGCCAGAACAGGGAGTAGGAGAGATAGCAAAAAGGAATAAAAGAGCTACAAAGGACATGAATGTGTGGGGAGCCATGGAAGAAGAAAAAATGTTCCTTACCTTTAGGAATTCTGGTTTCGTTTAAAATTTGCAGCCCGTAAATATTTGTCAAAGATTTGTCAGAGATGGTATCTTCCAGCTCATCAAAATTCTGCAGTAATAGAAAGAAAATATTATTAACTCCGAAACATGACCATTTACCGACAAGCTATTTGCGAATATTTGGATAAATTTCACCGTAACCGATAAGTTCACGGCCATCAAATCAACGTAAGAAAAGTTAACTATGATATATATATATATATATATATATATATATATATATATATATATATATATATATATAAACTAGATCTTGCTAACAATATTTTCCAACCATATGTGAAGGTTAATTCCAACCCATTATACGTGCATCCTTATTCCAACCATCCCCTTCGGTTATCAAACATATACCCTCTTCCATTGAATTTAGAATTAGCGCTAACTCTTATAATAAGGAGGTTTTCAATAAACATAGTGATTTTTATAATTCTGCACTAAAAATAGTGGATACAAAAATACCACTATTCAATATAAAAACCCTGTTAATTGCAAACCATAATAAGAAAAGAAGATCTAGAAAGATTATTTGGTTCACTCCCCCCTTTCAATGTTATGGTCAAAACTAAGTTGGGGCGTATATTTATAAACCTAATCAAAAACATTTCCCCAACCCTGAAAATAACCCACTTAGTAAAATATTTAATCCTAATACCCTTAAATTAAGCTATAGTTGTGCTGATAACCTAGAGCAGATAATTAAAAAACATAACAACATAGTCTTTAACAAGTATAGGAGTTCAAAAGGCTTGACTAATCAACAGGTTACTAACTGTAATACTAATTATAAGAATACAAATAACAACTTATGTAATTGTAGGAATCCGAATAATTGTCCACTACAAAATAACTGTGGGATTACTTCTGTAGTCTATCTTGGTACTATTTCAACAATTGAAAATCCAAATATAAAGAAGTTTTACATTGGTTCTACTATGAAAACATTCAAGGAACGCTGGCGGGGGCATATGCAATCCTTTAATCACAGTGAATATAGGTACATGACTTCATTATCCAAGTATTTTTGGAATCTAAAAGATAAGAACAAAACACCTACGATTAAATGGAGTTTGGTTAAGAAAGCTCGTACATGTAACTCCCTATATACCCCTATGTTACCTATGCCTTAATGAAAAATTTGAAATTATTAGATTTAAAAACAAGGCTGATCTCTTAAATCAAAGATATGAACTTACAGTAAATTGTAAACACCGTTATAAATTTAACTTAGTGTAGGGGTCGTATACTTTAAATGATAATGATATGTCGCTGTATTTTTAATAGATTAGTATTTTTATTGCATGATGGTCATACTTACGATATAAGTGTGTATTGTTTACCTGCATAGTGTTATTAGTGTTGGTGTAAATGTGTATATATTTATTTTTGTGTTGGTTAGGGTATTTGCACTGAGTAATGTGTAGGTTGGTGTATAAATGTATTTATGTTTTTTTTTTTTTTTTTTTATATGTGTAGGTGTATGTGTGGGGTGTGTATGTATGTATATATATCTGAGTGTGTGTGTATATATATATATATTATGTGGGAAGGTAAAGTAGATTATAAGAGAAAAGGTTAATAATTGTTGCTGTATATGTGTATGTGTGTGCCTATATATGTATGTGTGTATGGGTGTGTGTATATGTATGTATTTTGTGTGTATGTGTATATATGTATGTATGTATGTATGTATGTAAATATATATATATGTTTGTATATATATATGTATATATATATATATGTGTGTATGTGTTGGATATATATATATATATATATATATATATATATATATATATATATATATATATATATATATATATATATATATGTATGTGTATATATGTATGTGTGTGTATGTGTATATGTATGAGTATGTACATGTATATGTATGATAAAATCACGGCAGTATAATGGTTGGCCAGCATAATTCGCTTGATTAGGTGCGACTGAGGAATGAGTTCGTTCCTCACTAGGTACCCCCTAATTTCGGCTTTGTGCCACGATATATTTGTATATATATATGTATGTGTATGTGTATGTGTGTATGTATGTGTGTATATATATATATATGCGTGTGTGCATATATATATATATATATATATATCTGTATGTCCTATTTTATTGTGTATGTGTATTTATATTTAAGTATATTTCTGTTTGTATGAATGTGTTTATATATTTGTATGTTAGACTATATGTATATTGCTGTGTGTTGGTGTTTGAAGGTATATTTATGTATCTATATGTTAGTTCGTTTAGATATGTATTTGGTTGAATGTTGTTGTATTTTTATGTATGCATGTATATATGGGTAGTTGTTATTGTAGATAGATATATTTATTTATATATATATGTTTATTTGTAGATATGTATGTATGTGTGTATATATATTTATGTATGTTTGTGTATGTATATATATATATGTGTGTGTGTATTGGCACCTATTATGTATGAGTTTGTTTATGTGTATGTGTGGGTATGGAAACTTTGGTATATCATGACGGTTTTTTTTTTTTATATATCTAAGTATGTGT